TTCGTTTACGGTTTACATCGACTGTGGAATTCGACATCGACTTCCACTTTACAACTTTAGGATGGATACATATAATAATACTCTATACCGTTTGTTATAAATAAAGAGGATTTTTTTAAATATGTAGTTGTGTTTAAATGTTATACTTCCAGCAAAATGTGTGGGCCACGTGTCTCAGATGCTCTCTGCCTACACTATGCAGGAGTTGGCACATCTCGACCGCTTCTATTTTCGTCTGTCCCCAAATATTTCTGGCACTCACTTTGAGCATAAAAGTGGACACCGGTCCGGTCGAGAGGTTGTCATTCATCGAATCGTTACGTTTGTTTTTCTCGTGTGTCGATTGATCCCAACGTATGTCTAGTTAGCCAATAGTAAAATAGACGAGTAAAATCGGAATGTACGTACGTCGGCTACGCACTGTTTACAACAAAACATTTGTCATCAATCTTGATCGATCTTTCTAATCGATTAACGGCTGCATGGCTCATCTGGCGTTCACCTTCTGTTTGTTAACTCATCTCATCGTTTTATTGTTAGCTGTTTAATTTATACATATATTTGAATGGCCTATTACAGTATACCTACACAAATTAGTAATTTATTTTGATCTTCAAATTAATATATTTGCATACAAGTTGGAAAATACTAAATTTTATATAGACACAGAATTGCTGATTTAAACATAATGTGTTACAAAATAAAAAACCTAAAAATGGCTGTATTAGCAACAAAGAAAACCAAACAAACAAAAACTAAACATAACAGGCAATCTGTAGTATGAAGTAACAATTCTGACCTATGTGAGTTTTACGAAGTGTGAGAAGAAAATAAGTAGTAAATTATTTCTGTACATTATATGTTTTACAGAAAAAAATCACTTCCCATATTAATAACACAGATTTTTACTAACTTAGATCATTTCGTGATGGGTAAGTAGATGGGTAGTTCCGAGGCTAAAACAAGAATTCAAGATAACTCTTTCCTAAAATTGACAAACCGTTGGAAAAACATCAGTCAGGTACCGTATTGATTAGGTATGCTGGTCGGGTTACAAGGTCGTCTACGCGTCGTCCGGCAACTACAGACTGTCAGCAGACGTCAATTCGATCGATATACATGCCATAGTTTCTAAGTGCACTCCGCTGTCTTAACACCTCTCTTGAAAACCACAGCGTCCCATTCCGGGCCGGCCAGTCTCATAGCATAATTAACGATTACAGGGCAATACAAAGATAATAAGACAATGTTGTCTTTTAAAGTTAAAACACTGATATTTTGAGAATTATATACTAAGAATACAAGGAGAATTCTCAAGCATGTGTTGTATTTTCTTTATATCAAGAAAGTATTTATAATAAGAATAAGTATATGTTATAAAGGACAGGAATCTCTCTACTATCTCACAATATGTTATAAGTGTTCTGTGGTTATTGCCCACCGCCGCTCAGTCAACCCCCCTTGCCACAAATAAGCCAAATTGAAAGTTTTTGTTTATTACGAGTATGAGCTTTGCTCTTGATAATGTATACTATAATTTTTATTTCATTTTAAAATATAAAAAATAATATGATAATAAAATATCAGTCGGAGCTAGAAAAGGTGCTTATCAATTTCACAAAAAAAAAACACTTCAACAAGAACTTCAGTAATAATGTAATATGTGTGAGGACATTTCACACACGGCCGTCTGATCCCAAACTATGCAGAGCCTACTATGGTACCAGACTGGTGATAAACATACCTTTATATTTCTAAGTACATACAATCAGATAAACAAATTTTATTCAATTGAAATTTGGATAAATACCACCCTTTGTTTAGTTTTTATAACCCACCGAACATATAATATGAATACTTTTTCAAATATGTCTCAAAATTTAAAACCACTTAATTTTTACTGAAACATCAGCACTAATTTGAAATACATCATAGCAAAAGCTGTTCTTAAATGCTCTACTGGTGAGTCGGGTAGCCAGACCTAAAGGTGAACTACTGGAGAGACTTTTGCGCATCATTACTCACCAAGTAGTTTTACAATTAATTATAGCCTCAACCTTAATATGATATTTTTAAAGAATTGTATGATATAAATACTCGGAATCCTAATATGCAATTATAAGAACCTTCCCGAGAGAAAGTTTGTATAATTGCATATCGCGCAATCGTTCGGTTCCGTTCGTTAAAGTTTGGTTACAGAACATCTCCAGTTTTAACCAATTATAATAAAACTGTAAAAATATAAATTAAATAATTTACCTACCTACATATGTTACTGCGAAGCACAGCAGGTTGAGTCTCCTGGTGTAAGTTAATAATGCTACACAAAGTTCAACTTGAATGTGTACAACTGATAAAAGGTCTTATCATATGAAAAATAGGATCAGGTTAAACTTATCGAAGAGCAATTAATAAAATAATGTTGTAGTATGTTCAGAGGAGCGATGTCATCCGTCTGAGCCGACGCAGTCATTTATATCGACGCCGGCGTCCGTCACGCTAATCGCTGCTGTGATACACCTGCACCAGCTTGCATTCCCCGATACTGCGGCTTAATGCCGTACTCATTATATCATTATATAAAGTATAAACACCAAACAAGCAATATATGGGACTATGCGGTAATCATGCATCCAAATCAAAGCACAATCTGTAAACGGACTAACATCCTTTGAGAACACTTTAATGGGTCACTAGTTTCCTTGCAAGGAGAAGCAGAATATGCTCCTAGTCCGAGTTTTTTTTATGTTGCTATAACAGCTTGTCTTTCTAGGCGGCATTGGACACGGAGCGTCTCAAATTGTCTATTGTCAGGATATTTCACATCGACTTGATCTATTGGCGTTGCGCAGAGATGTACTCTGACTGACAATGACTGCATTCTCTATCATTTTTATAATGGGGAGTGCCTACAACGCACTCCTACATCCTTGCAGGATGCAGGTGTCCTTGGCCACAGTAAGCACTTACTATCAGGTGACCCGCCTGTCCGTTTGTCCCCAATTTTATAAAAAAATAACATGAAAATTATGTTTTAAAACATTTATTACTTCCACGTGTGCCTTCGTAAATACACAAAGAAGCTCTTTACTTTAAAACAATCATTTTAACACCGTGTCCTTAATGTTTTAAGATCTTAACCATCTTTTCAAGAATCGTATCTGTTCCTTTCACAAAAGCAGGACTTTTCACTCCTTGGGAGCTAATACCTCATTGAACCATCTGTGACTCTCCTTTGTATCGTCCAAAAAGGGTTTTGATTTTACTTCCCTATTTGTTTTTTTTAACTCTCAGTTATCTAATGACCACTACCTACTTCCTTTTAAAATAACAAAAATATTAATACCAAAATTAACCCAAAAGTAATGACAAAACGTGATCACCCATTCAAGTATCACTAACACCCGTTAGTTAGTGGTTCGAATTGAAACTCGGCTAAAGTAAACGGCGCGGAGTAACAGGAAATAATAACTTTATCCCAAGCTTTAAACTGTGAGAGGACCGTCCAACTAACATTATGTCTGCCAGTAACAAGTTAATCTAAATGCAGCCGACTGCTTCCACTAGCTAGTTGTAGCACGCATCGACGAAGTTTATTAGCTGAGAAAATTTGGAGCATGTCTGCATCAGATTCTAGTCAAAGATTCACACTTTGCTGCATTTTTAAGCGGCGGTAGCCTAGTGGTTAAGGCATTGGACTTGCGATCAAGAAGTTCGAATCCTGACCAGTGCACTACCGACGTGAACGCACTCCTAACACAAGCAAATTAGCTAAGCGGGAGGGGTTAACGGGAATACTAGTCATTTCGGTTGCTATTAAACCATTTACAAGAAAATAAATAAATAAATGATATCATAGAGCATGTTCTACAAAAGTTAGTCACTAAATCACTCCAAAGCTTTTTCGCGTTATCAGCGAGGGAGTCCCCAACTGGAGTACTGAATATTCAGATGCCGTTTGTTTGTATACGTATTTTCTTTGAAATAGCGATAAGCGCTTTTCCGTTTTTTCACTGAATAAAATATAGCGAAGGAGGCTCGGCGTACGACGATAAAACGTCCGCGAAGCTCTTCCCGTCACGTAGTGCGACAGTTAATTACGCGAATATAAATAAATCATCATAGACGGGTGCGGCGGAGAGCTTCGATTCCGAAAGGCAATTATCTCGCGCCTCATTGACGCCGAAAATGAACAGTGCGAGGAGTCCGCTTCCAACACGCCTCAGAAATATTTGACACTGCTTAAGACGTGGTTATAAGGAAAAATCGAGTGTAGGATTTCTGGTGGCTACGTGCCTGGCTCACGGCAATTGTGATGCATGGAGGGATTTCCGCACATTCGAGATATTGAGCCGAAACCGCTACCACTACCCACCCCACTACACATATTGCTTATCGGAATGATATCGAATGCGGACCGCTATTTTCGTCTATATTCAAACCCAAAAAGTTTAGGTACTTGGAGAGTATCACTCTTATAATGGTTTATTATTATTAACGAAGTGTTGCATTAATGTTAATGTATTCAAAGATATCCGTGTGGTGACGGATTAAGAATATGAAGTGTCACCGCCCTATTCATCCCGTAGGTGGCGTAAGAGGCGACTAAGGGAGCAAACTATGCAGTACAACAGTACTGCGAAGAGAAGGACAACTTGAAACTAACCCTATACCAACCCGGCAGGCCAAAACCTCCTTTCTAAGGAGACACCGGCCTGTGCAGATGTTCAGCAGTGGATTGTCAAAGGCTGTAGATGATGATGATTTGAAGATATTGCTTACATTTTATATTAATATATGTGCATTTCGATCAGAAATTTATGCTTACATTAAAGAACTATATTTTTAATGTAGTAATTAATAATTATATATAATAATAATATATATTATGAGTCAAGAAACCTTCTAAACCTTACATATCACCAAAGTATTGATAAGTATAAGTATTGTTTAAGTTGATATAGTAAACGTATGGTAAATTGTAAATAATGTTTTTCCAGGGTCGGTGTAACCGCGAGAAACCTCCTTGCAAGTACTTCCATCCACCGCAGCATCTAAAGGATCAGTTGTTAATCAACGGCCGGAATCACCTAGCACTCAAGAACGCACTAATGCAGCAAATGGGCTTGACACCTGGCCAGGTGTTGCCTGGCCAAGTACCAACTGTGGTGAGTGACAAACCTTTTGTCTTTTACTGTCGATGCTTCGAGCGATCGGTCCTCACACGTATGTAGGTGTAAACTGCACGCAACACGCAGCTTTCGGTGTATTCGCTACTCTGTAATTTTATAAGCGTTCTTTATTGACACGTAGAGTAAAAAACCAGGTATCAAGTTTAAGTTGTGCCTTCTTAATAGTAAATATTTTAGTAGATAGTACAAAAAAAAGTTAGTCGTAGGTGGGTAAAGGTGAGTAATAAAAGTATTTGCATCCGTTAGCAAATTATCTAGAATCAAGAAAATTTCGTCTTAAAGTTTTCTCAGAAACTTAACCTTGTGCAGCAGTACAAAGTAAATGGTTATTTACTTTCTTGAAGGCGGTACAGTCGCTGCTGCATCTTGTTCCGCGCGTTAAAGTTTGTTTTTAAATGCGTGAACTTCTAAAACATCATCAACAGGTACTAGGTATATCCATTTATTTTATTTGACAGATGATGGGTAATTTTCTGGCACAACTTAAACATTGTCGCTCTGAGACCGATCGCTCTCCACCGCTTCAGCATGTTTGTACAACTCGTTCCTTAAATGGCATGATACTCTCCAATCTTACTCACATGTGTATGAACTGGGTATAAGCGGTAATGCAGATTTAATCACTAAAACATTGTCCTCTTCACTGTTCACACTGTCGCTAACAACGCGGCCCGACACTCCTTGACATTTCTGTTTGCACCGTTTTTTGCTTTACATACTTAGGTAAGGCATTAATACATGCCCTAAAGGCTCGGTTACTTTGGTGCAAGTTGGAATGTCAGGACAGTGTGACAGGGACGCGGGCGCGGGCAGACCCTCGCACGATGAGTAGCGTGTTTGTGTGGTTTTGTGTCGAGGTGGGCGGCGTGGGCGGTGCCGGTGCGGCCGCGAGCCACCTCACCGCGCTGGACCCGATCAGTCTCGCCCTGCTCGCCCCGCAGGTAACTGCTGCGTCGCACCACCACCGGCCTCCGCGCTTCCTTATGCCTATTTTCCTTCACTCACTATACGCACAGCCTTAGCATACCTGCGCGATATACTAGTGAATGTGATCTTAAATCCTCCTCTTCCCGATACACCCGTTCCCTTTAAACTTTAGGTGGTCGGTGGCTAGCTTAACTGGATAAACCGTATGCTTATTTAATATTTCAATTGGTTTGTGTTAAATGCATGTGGTATATAAAAGCTTGGTTGGCTATAATATTAATTCTTAAATAATTAATATATTGTTCTTCTATGTTGATACTAATAATATGTGTAAAATTGTCTTTGTAGTTGTTACGACTTTGTATATATGTCAGTGCCAGCTTTGAAAAAAGCTTTACTAAATGTAGAAACTTTTAACTTAAATACTTCAAAAAACCATTCGATACAAATAAAGTTAAACACTATAAAATACTTAAAATATTTGATGAAATGATATAATAGCAATGTGTGTTATTGTATGATATGCAGGCAACGTCGCCCTACTTGTCGGGCGTGCCAGGCGTCGGCTCAACATACGCGCAGTACTATGCGCCGCAGCTGGTCCCGGCGATGCTGGGTCACGACCCAGCCGCCGCCGCTGCCTCACCTCTCGGTGTTATGCAGCAACCTGTACTGCAACAGAAACTGCCTCGCACCGATCGCTTAGAGGTAAGTTAACTGCACAGTTTATTCATTATTTCATGTCTACACTGGAATTGTGCTTTCCGATATTGCCTATGCCGGGGACCGACCCTATTTGAATTTACTCTTAAAATATTATTTTTGCAGTTTGAAAACTAGATTTCCTATAATGACTGATTGTTTTTTGTCAACTTAGTATACGTCGGTCCCGGTAGCAATTTCGGCAATTCGTCAGCCGAATGCCCGTCCCTTGTGTCGATGGCGCGCGGCCGCACTGGCCTCGTGCGAGAGCGCTTCGCGAGCAGCACTCGCTTAGTCCCTCTGGTGAAGGACCTGCACTGTTAGCTCAATCGATCGTAGCCTAAATTATGTTTAGCAAATACGTATTCGACTCCTATCGACTTGCGCTCACAGTGTAGAAGTGCCAAAGGCTTCACATTCGTCGATCCTCTAGATACAAATGAGCTAATTGTATAAAATTTCTCGACCAAAAGTAAAAAGTTGCGACAGTTGCGTCAATTTGAAGCGATATATAAGTCTAAGAGCAATCGACTAGTAACTACTCTATTTAAGACTTTACTTATAAAGCGGCGTCCGGTCGAGATCGATCAAAGAAACTACAATATGTGACGCATTAAACTTAAAAATTGTCACACACATTTTCCGTGAGCTCAATTGTAAGTTCGCTCACGTAACTTGAATATTATTTATGTCTTCCTGCTGTTGATCAATAACGTACGTTACGGCCGGCAAAAGCATATGTTGCGTAGTTATTGAGCAGCACGGCGTAGCTAGGGGCTAGTGGTCAGTGTAGGCAGAGGTAGCGGTCGCGCGGGTTGCGAGCGGCGGACATGGCTGGTGTGTGGTGGTGCAGGTGTGCCGGGAGTTCCAGCGCGGCGCGTGCAAGCGCGCCGAGTCCGAGTGTCGCTTCGCGCACCCGCCGCCGCCCGTGGCCGCGCACGACGACGGCTGTGTCACGGTGTGCATGGACGCCGTCAAGGGCCGCTGCGTCCGCGACCCCTGCCGCTATTTCCACCCTCCCCTGCACCTGCAGGCGCACCTTAAGGCGCAGGCGCGCGGCGCGGTACGCCACCAGGCTGCACGCTCTCGCCTCGCTCGCTCGCGCTCGCTTATGTTCTTCCGCTTGGTCTCGCTCGCCGCGACGCCGCTTACGTTCGCAGAGCTTTGTTCTGTTCATTTCGCGCCGGCTCGCGCCACGCTTCCGTCGCACTCACGCTTCACTTTTATTTTATTTTTATCTATCGCATAATGTCACCTTACGCCGAGCTTTAGGTGTATTCTGTGCATCTACTACATCGTTATTGTTTCTGTCCCGTCCTGCGACGCTTCGCTTCACGTAGACGGCCGCCGCAGCCCAGCAGCCGGCAGCGAGCGTGACTTCGGAGCCGGGCAAGAAACGGCCGGCGCCCGCCGAGCTCGAGCCGCCACCGGTACAACTGCCAGCTTTGCACGCTTCTCCTCCGCTCCCACTCCTTCCCGCACGATCCCTCCGCGCGCCTTTCCCTCCCATTGCGAGCGCGGCCGCGGCAAAGCGCGACGGGCCGCCCCCGCCCCTCGCGCCGCGTTGCAGCCTCGCCCGCCCGAGCCCACTGCCCGGAAACCCCGTTCAACCGTTTGTTTCTCGTTTCAGATGGACATGAAAAGCGTCGGATCTTTCTACTACGATAACTTCGTAAGTATCCTACGGTGAATAACACAACTGACTAGGGTCCTCGGAGAGTAAACCTGAAATTCATCCTCGTTTTTGTTAATTTGCAGGCCTTCCCCGGCATGGTGCCGTATAAACGACCCGCCGCGGACAAAGCAGGTGTTCCTGTCTACCAGCCCGCGACGACCTACCAGCAGCTGATGCAGCTTCAGCAGCCGTTCGTGCCCGTGTCATGTGAGTACCCCGCGCCCGCTACATCCGCCCCGCCGACCGCGACGGCGCCCGCGCCGTCCGCTCAGCCATCCGCTGCATCCGTCCCCGTATCAGTGTCCGCGGCTACACCGCAGCCCGCGGTCGCACCCCCAGCCGCATCGTCGCCCGCGCCTGTGGGTGATGCGGGTGCGCCTGACCCGGCTGCCGTTGCTAAAGAAGTGGCGCAGAAGAACTACGTAGCTGCACTGGCTTTCGCTGCCCAACACTCTGCAATGGCACAGGCGGCGGCCGCATATACACAACAAGCTCTAAAAGCCCGAGCTGGACACGCAGGTGTGCCAGGTTACATGCGTACGCCATACATGATGCGGCCGGGTTGGCCCGCGCCGCCTATGCCCATGCCCTACTACCAACAGCCGTTCATGTATGCGATGCCGCCGCCCACACCTCCCTCGGCCGCAGCGGCAGCGGCCGCGGCGGCTGCGGCGGCTGTCAACCCCTACAAAAAGATGAAGACGACATAGACGCGTCGCGCGGTCGGCGGGACGCGGGACGCGGGGTCTCCGCGTAGAGACTCGTACGTGTGCAGCCGAGTGTCCCGCCCCGGCCTGTCGGGGCGGTTAGCGCTAGGCGTGTTGTCACATTTGTATTGTATTATTGTAAGGACGAAGCGAGCGGTGTCACCCTCGCGGATGTCTCGGTAGTTTTACGCTATATATACTATATATATACATATATATACTACTGTATCTCTACTCACTTACCGTTATCACCCTATGCGTGTATATTTCTCGTATCTACGATCCCGGTAATAATAACGCTTGAGATGCATGACTGTACGTTTTTTTATTACCTCTTGTCAATCGTCGTTTATCGTGAGTACCAATCGTCGTACTGAGTGTTGAGCGCTTGGTTCGTCGATCCCGCTACGTACACGCTTGTTCTCGGAGGAGCTCCGCACGGGTGCGCTTTGGCCAATGTGTCGATCCCGTACCTACCTAGTGGTTACCGGCTTGCAGCAGCAGGCCCGCACCTAACACAGCCGCCTTCTAATTTTCGCATGGAATAGAATCCACCGCCCCTATACGTTTGGCTCATCAGGTATTATTCTCATTATTCTAGAGGCTCCTCGTGTATGCTAAGTGTGCCGGCGTGTTCATCAGTAGTGGCGCAGGGGCGGCGAGCGTCGCCCCTGCTTTTTTCTTTCGATCGCACATCCTTCTATTTATTTTTAACGCTTTCTGTTACATGCCTTCCGAATGAATGACTGCTTCGGCCGTCCGCATTGCAATCTTTTGTGCTTTTTGTGTCGGGACGGACAGGCTGTGCGCCTCCAAACGCGCCTTACGTGGTATACACCGACGATCGCGGACAGGTAACGAGTGCCGCGTGCCGCAACGCCTCACCGCCTCACCACGTCAGCACACTCATCACCCCGTCATTCTTCCCGCAAAGTGCACTACGCAACCCGCTTGTATACAGTCATTACTTGTGCTCTGTATGACATTGTTGAGGTAGAAGAGACTGAAAACGTGAAGCTGTGTAATGGCCCGGTCTGCTGTATCTGTCATAACTTAAGGGAATGTAGATTAACATGCGCGTACTATTGGGCCAAATTATCACAGCTCCACTTATTTGTGTCCCTTCACGCTATTAATTTGTCAACTTGTTCCTTGTCGGACCATACATACAATAGTTCGCGCTATCACTGGGCACTCGGCTCCCTCGCCTCGCTCTAACCAGTACGCTATTTGCATATCACTTCCTACTCGACCCGATAAGTGTACTGCTTAATATGTTTTGTTGATAAGCTCGAATTCAAAACAAAAGTAAATGTTTGAAAGAAAAAAAATGACATTAAATATAAACTAGATGTTGTGTTAATTAGATGTGATAGCTAACTGTATTGGCCTAATGTAATTTAGTAAAATCTGACAATATACAATTATATTATACATACGTAATTTTTGATATCTGTATAACAGCACACCTCCACGTAAACTTTAAATGGTCAGGAATAAAAGTAAAGTTAATGTAGAAATTCAGAGCTTGCTTTTTCTTTAGGCTTGTATATACTTATTTAGTTGTTGTGACGCTTTCCGCCGGCTTAGTAGGCTCATCGCTTGTTAATTATGATCAAAGAACAACTAACTCAGTTTTCACTATCGCGGTTAATTCACAACTGCAGGACGAGATGCGCTTGGTGAAATGAACTATTTTTATCAACCGACCGACACAAATCTATGGAAGACAATATGGAATTAAACTAACGCTTATTTTACAAGTTATGCACCACCTGTTCGATAATATCTTCCTCAATCGCTACTACAGGTGGCCAGGCAGGATACGTGTTAACTGATACAAAAGAATCAAAGCCAAATAATGGTTGAACCGACACTACAGTACAGTGGAGGTGCGAGAACAGAGATGAATCGGTCATCGTGTGCCGACGACCTGTGCCGGTCGCCGGCGAGCTGGTGGCATCGCTTGTCAGCCGATTCATGTTATCAATGTTATCATACACATCATCTAGTCATTGTGCTGTAACTGTATTGATTATATATATATATTGTAAAACGTTGATGCTACAACTTACCTGTTGATGATTTTTAGTTTTGTATAGTGAGACATACTTGCTTTCAAATGTGGAAGAAGTCACTCTACAGTATTGCCTTGCTTACACCCGGTAAGATACAATCAGCTTACTATAATATCCTCAGTATAAGTGAATTCCTGTTCGGAGCCTATACTGAAACACGCCGCTTGTCACTTGCATGGATGTGCAACAAAAACTTTAGCTAGTATCTGTCCTAAGTATAAATATGCTTCTAATAACTAATGATCTACGGCAGTTTCAGTAAAGGTGATAATATTAATTTTAATTTAACGAAGCCATTTTAAATCTGCTAAACAGTTGATGTTGTATTTAGAACCTTTTAGATTTTTATAGTTTATATGTGCAAATAAACAATCATAATGTAATTTGATGTAATGTGTGTACCTTACACAACTGTTTAGCTGTCAGTGAAATTCACCTATTGGCCAGTATCAACTATCAACTGCTAATAAGGGGGTTTATTTACACTCATTTTCAATGCTTTTTGTATATTACAGTTATATTATTTTTATGCATATTTGGTAGTTGAAGTGACTATGGTGAAAAAAAGATAAATCGAAGTGCTACAAACTCACACATAATGTGTATGTAGATGTAAGTAATTAGGTACAACATAGAGTAATGATGTAATTATGTAAGCTAGATCACCTATTCACTTCGAATTATCTTTTGTAATGCTTAAAGTGCTTCGCCGTTGCGGCTTCAATTCCTCGCTTACGACTTGTTGAGGCCTCTCTGATGCTTATTTCAAGTGTTCACGTAGACGTAATAATATACTTGGTTTTCTTTTGTTTGTCGTACAGTAACCGCACTCTCTAATGGTCATTATGTTGCAGTTTGTACTACCACTAACATGTCACGTCCAGAACTGTCATGTAAGCTAAAGGTATAAATTTAATTTGTCTATTTACATTATAACCATGCCAACCTACCGATAAGCATGACCGTCCTCTGTTCTTCTACTGAGAACATGGGAAGATCTAAAATCATCACAGCCGACGCAGACACATGTCGTAACTCTCCCTACACAGCCTCTTTTAAAGCTTTATTATAGCAACAGTTGGTATTTATGGGTACACACTTTGGACGCTACAAAACCTCTAGTACGCCCTCGCCCTGGTAAAAGTTGTCTAGCATCATGCTTAAGCTTTTTTGTAAAATATAGTCACGCTTAAATAAGATTGGCTGCGCAATAATGATTATACTTCAAGCGTTCTGCATGCCATTTAGATACTATATATTCATACCTACTATGTGCATAGTGCAGCGTACTTAACACTACTCTCTGACGGTTATGGAAGCTCGTTCACGAGAATAACTTCAGCAGTGGGCTCTTAATTACTATTTTGTTTATTATTGCATATTATATTCTCGACCGTACTACAAATACAATATAAAGGTGACACACACGTAATTAAAAGAATGCTTGGAAGATCCAATCATATTGTGCAACGAATCTTGTAAAGTTCTTGTAATATTGAAGCAGCAACAAGATTTGATTTCGAGCAATTTTCGCCTTCCGTGTGTCCCGTTTTGTGTTAATTTTATGTAGCGACTGAGAAACTACACACGCATCCACTTTCTTTATACTTCCGGATACTTTTCGATCTCATAAAACAGGCTAACACAATTAGGGAACTTTAATTCAATACAATGTGCTAGAATTAATTTAAGTAGACAGTTGATAAGACTTTGCTCTTTGATATTACAAAAACTGTTTCAGCGTTATTTTTCAGACGGCTGTGCAATGAGGAAAATGTTCAGTGTCAGACGTATGAATGTCCATAAAGTGATGAAATAGAATTTAGCATTAACACTATTAACAAAATAAATTCATAAACCGTCGGTTACTCATTAGCGTTTACACTGCTACCTAAATACACTTGTCGCCTGTGACTATTAAAGTAGTTTATGTTTTTTTATTATCCTAAAATAATTATCGACTGTTTATGAAGTAGTCTTATAGTTATTTAGACCATATAAACCACTATTCCACAATGCAAAAATGTAACTGAAGACAAATGAATGAAATTACCTGTAAAAAATCATAGATACAGGCGAACTGCTAATGAGGCAAACAATTATAGAGATAAAATACTTGAGTTTTATTTTATCTGAATGCTTCAATTGAGGTTACCTTTTTATAGCGTCTGTGATTCTAAAATATGGCAAAACTTAAATGTGTTCAAAAGCATTGTGTTAATATCGGTTTGTGTGTTATACAATTGGCTTATGACAATAATATACTAATTTTAATGTTGTTATATTTACAGTTACTGGACACCCTCCCGGTGTGCCAAGATTTTAATCGACAAGGATGTACGAGACCTACCTGCAGATTTGTTCATATTCGTGAAGGTGAGATCCATCAATTCATAACATTCTTTAATACGATTCAATTGTTACATGGTAGACGAAACATCAATAGATTTTACACAAATACTTGACGAATGTTTTACTAATAAATTAACAAATACAAGTCGAACTTTCAGATCATGGATAAACATGTCCCTTGTTTCCTTCTCCTTTTTAAATCTGCATGATCACACATTTAGTAATATTTCATTTACCTAGTGTAGTTTGAATATATCTTGAAGTAGCTATTATATGTAGCGTAAACAAAATTATTTAACAATTTAGTTTTTTTTACTACATACCTTTTTTATCTACACGTTAAAGTATTATTTAGTTAACGTGATGTAGGTAGTTTTCACTAGTTTAGTACTTGCTTTACAATATAATATCCATATAATCTGTAGAAAACTGTACGAGAATTTCGTAATGCGCCTTGATGATGTAAGATGATATGCCATATTACTGTACTAAATAATTAAATGTTCCTAAGGCATACATTCAATAACATTTTGTACAATAGCATTTTGTTCTATTTTAAGTTTTATGCGGCGTTAAAAAAATTGGGTATGGCGATATTTATGTTATTGTATTGTTTTATAAGTATGTAATGATTCTGGTTCTTAATGTTCCAGGGTGCGGGCTGCAGGTGGTGGGGTGCCGCGTGGTGGTGTGTCGCGATGCCGCCGCCGGCACGTGTCGCCGCGCCGCCTGCCGTTACTACCACATCCCCGTTCAATTGCCGCCAGCACTTCGTCCTCCTTAACCAGCCCCACCACCCGTCCATCATCGCACCCCTCACTCCCCCTCTCCTCCTCCACTTCAACTTGAAACCCCCTCCCCCCTCGCCCGCGCCCCTCGTTATCCATATCGATCGCGCCTCTGGCACACTCGGGAAAGGCAGGATCGACAAGTATCCTACTGTCGCTCCCGCGGCTGAGGTGGTGATATCTTAGTGAATATCGGTTAGTGTAGAGCGGCGGGCGCGAGCCGCGCTTCGCACTTTGCGCTGCGACCCGCCCCCGTCTGGAACGTGCGTTAGTCTTCGGGAAAGAGTGTGTACATAAGTAGCGGGATATGATTCTCAGGCACGGTCATGCGATTGTGATATGAATAGATTTCGAGACGCCGGAGCCGTTTGAGTAATTTTATCGAGGTCGTACCGAGATCGTCGAATAGTAGTTAGTGAGGTTTCAAATGTTTTATTACTATTGTATATTTTTTTTAAGAAACGATATGAGTTCCTGTAAAGATCGGTGCGGTCGCCGTCCGGCGTCGCACGAAACTTTGTTGTATATAAGCGATGTAATCTTTATGGGTGGTGCGAAGCTGCGCCGGCCGGGCAGTGACGTCACGGAGCCGATCGGTCAGTGGCGTCACGGAGCCGGTAGGTCAGTGGCGTCACGGGTCGACCGGTAGTGACGTCACGGGCCGCCCGGCGCCCGCGCTCTCGTAGCCGTCGGCCCTCGGTCGGTGTCAAAAGTTGCATCACCCCACTCCTAAATGTGAGCATTTTTTGTGAGAATTATGTTACTTTTTTACGTATGTTATAAAATTATTTTTTTGTAGATGACAAGTTTTACACTAGATTAGATTAAGTGAGTCAGTAATGAACACCAATAGAGTAGCCGCTTCTCTCCCTCGGCACTGAAACTTGACGCCGGAGCACAATTCAAATACGTTGGTGAAGCGGTGCGTCCGCTTCGACCACTCGGTACTTCGTTCTTCCCTTAAGGAGCCATCCCGTTCGCACCACATCCCACGACGCCGTCGCGTCGCCAACTTCACACGTTAGTATAGATCACGACACTCGTAGAGTGATATAGGACAGAAATTCATAATACAATGAACGTTATCGGACAATATTAAAACGAAGAAGGCATACTTCCAAGCTATTTACCTAAATTCTAGGATAGAACGTCGGCTTTTATTCCAAATAGATTTTGCTAGATAATCATTCTTTTACTGGTCGATCCCCGTCTATCGATGCACAAAATATTACCGACGATCACGTCCGATTACCTCTCGGTGAGTACAGCATAACGAAATAGCTACCTACATTGTTTTCAACACAAACAGTATTAACGTTTTGATCAAATTTATCTTGTCGTATATGTATGTAGAGGTGATATGCGGATAGAGAGAGAGGCGGTAGTGCGCGCGCCGAATGCCAGGCTGCGCGTCGCGCTGGCGAGCGTGCGCCTTAAAGGCCGCACTGACGAACGTGCACCAATGCGAACCGCACTCACGAACGTGCACCAATACGAGCCACACTCAGGAACGTGCACAAATGGGGCCGCACTGACGAACGTAAACCCATACGGGCCGCACTCACGAACGTGCACCAATACGGGCCGCACTTATGAACGTGCACAAACAGGGGCCGCACTGACGAACGTACACCCATACGGGTCCCACTCACGACCGTGCACCAATACGGGCCGTTCTCACGAACGTGCACCAACACGGGCCACGCTCGCGGGCGCGAGTGCGCAGTTACTGCTTGTCCGACGCGCTCTCTCTGAAGGCATGGAAGCCTAATGCCTAATATTATTCCTAGTCCATATCCTTTTTGTTGATCAGTCATGCGATTAATGTTAGAATAAATATTAATAATTTGATTTATTCCTCCCATTTAGTGGATATTTTGATAATGATATATTAATAATGAAATATTTAAGATACATAATACATATTTGATTCTAAATCCTGATAAAGTGACACTACGTTAGTAATTTAGTCGGAGGGATACTTGTGCCGTGATTATATTTTTAGGTATATATTATGAAATAATTCCTAGCGTCGGAATTAAAGAAGTGATTAATGTGTAAGCGTGTTATATTTATTGTCGTAACGTAAGTGGAATGCCATATCGATAAAAGGTGAATATCGGATGCGGAGTCAAACTCATTAGTAACTCGTTGCGTTTGTGTTTATGTTGATTGTTATTATCAGTCCCGTGCTAGTGGCTAAGGTGAACACTTCACTTTTATCAATACGGCACTATGACTCTTAAATATATAAGTTGTCATTTTATTTTTTGTTGAAATTTATCGTTTCATGAATTATTTGTTGCCTATAATTTTTATATCAAAATTTTATGATCTGACGCATTTATTGTAAGACAATCGATTACTTTTATAATTAATTAGTGTGATAATAATAATTATGGTATCAAATTGCCGTTATGAAATATAGAACATCGAAAGTATCCTTCCTGTTTAGAAGGGACTCTTCTGGCCCAAGGTTTCTAGTGGATTTTATATTTTTCTTTTTGTTGTATTTTTAATGTTGCGTGTGTCTTACACATAATATATTTCATTTTTGTGATATTTTTAACTATAAAGTACTGTTATTATAAATCCAAATGGAATAATGATGACCTAATTAAATATTCAAGAATTTATTTGTAAATCACAAAAAAAAATGTAAAACTGTAAATATATTGACAAAAAAAATGAACTGCAACACAATTATTGATTATTATATCTCTCATCAAATACACTGTAAGTTGTTTGAGTACCTAAATAATGGTATCTTATTATGTAGTATGTACCTACAGTCTACTTAAAGGTAAACCGGTCCAGTGAACAAAGTATTGATAATATTGTGAACATTTTTTTATTCACGAACAATCAGAAAGTACATGACATTGTAATATTATTTATGAAATTACTATGTGATGGGATCTTCGGATCAATTTTGAGTACAGTATAGATAATAAACAACTGAATATGTGATCTTTGTCTTTTATTTACACTCTCTCACTCTATTGGTAATGTTTATATTATGTCTATTGGTGTTGTTTATAACAATTTATCGGAATCACTAATTAATGAAGAAAGATAGATACATTGATAATAATGAATTTTGGTGAATAAAATTGTAAGAAACTGTATACTTCATTTCATTAATTTTTGTTCTTGGGGGATAGATTATTTTCTTCAAATTTGAATGGGACCAAACGGGAACTATATTTTTTCTTAAAAAATAATAATTTCGTAATCTGTTCTGAAGTTGCCTTTAGAAGTATCCGACGGTTATGCTAGTAATTTCTTAACCATATGTGATCGAACGATATGCTTTTAATTAACTACGGCTATTGTGCTAGTGTTAAAAAATAAAAAAAAACAAGGCAAGATGTGGGTTTGAGACTAGAAATTGTTAAAAGGTGATCGTTAAGTTTCCGGACCTATTTACTAAGACAACTCTTAATACATTTCTAAATATAATCATAGATAAATTACAGCCAGACACGGAACAAATGGTCGTGTTCATCACACAATTATTTGTCCTGGGTAGGAATCGAACCCACGATCTACGGCTTAGCAGTCAGTGCAACTAACCAATCTTGCACAAGTCTCGTGCAAGATTAATTGCTGGTGGATATTTTGCATTTATATACCTGATCTAAAACTTGTAGCAATACCAAAAATAGATAGATATTTCGACAGTACATAAACAGTGCATTATTGTCAGTACAATAAATCTAAAGGCAACTGATAATTAATATTTCTAAAAGGTTACCTACCTATTAGAAATATTAATTATCAGGTAATTAATACGGCATTAATTAATTAATTAGGCAATAATGTACAAATAAGATTAGCTCCTCAGACTGCACGGATGGCGTAGCGGTTAAAGCGGTCGCCACGCCGCTTACTACGACGCTGAGTGTTGTGGATCCGATCCCCACATGGGACGATACTGTGTGTGATCCACAAATTGTTGTTCTGAGTCTGGGTGTTCTTTGTGTCCGTTTAATGTATGTTGGTAAAGTCCCTCGCGGCACAGGATACATTAATAATGAGAGAGTTGTCTAAAACCAAAGATTTTATAAATCAGCCAAAAGACGTCTGCTGCTGGCACTGTCGGACATAGGCTTCCCCCAAGGCTCTCCACAAGTTTCTATTCTGAAATTACGCTAAATCATACATTTTTGTTTAGATTAATCAATAAATACTACTTGTAATAAAATTCTTACCTATTGATAACGGCTAATTAGATATTGGAAATTAAAGCGCCATTAACGATATAGGATTTTAGAAACTAAAATTGCGGGAATTGAGTGCAGTGATAAACTTAGTTACCTTAAAAAGGCCAATGATTCCGTAATCATTGGTTGCAGACAATGACGACTGTTGAGGTCAATATACCTTGACAAGGGCAATGACGGCGTAATCTTGAATATTTATTTATGTTCACACATAATAGAGTTATTTGTAGGTAGAGAGTAGGTTGTAGGTAGAGTTCTTTGTGTACCTATCCTGCTTTAAGTAAGTTTTTCACGCTGTGAAATTAGGAAAACTACATAAAAATATAGAAGGGATGGATTTTGTTCAAATACAAGAGAGTTAAAAATCAGTCATAGCACGGAAAGTCTTATACACAGTTTAGCTTACAACTACTTTTTAAGGTCGAGCTGAGCGAGCTGACGTCTGCGCAGAAGGATGCGACCGCGGTGAAACATCTGTCACTACCGGTCATGGAGCGTATGACGGCCGGTAGCGACAGATCCCCTCCGATGACAGCAATGAGGACCCGGCGCTGCGTTGTCACCTATGTTTAATCCGATTCCGATTATTAAAAATGGAGCGCTTCTCGAAAAAACCACGCGTTATTATTGTGAAAACTCATTTAAAAAAATGTGAAAAGTTACGCTGAAACCGCTCGCAAACTTCGTCAAATTTTCAGTCGAGAATGTGCTCCTAATGTGTCAACCATTCGAAGAGTGGTCAAAAAATTTGAAGAAACTGGGTCGATTATGGATATTAAGAATGTTTTGCGTCAACTTACCGGTTGGTCTCTTGAAAACATTGCTGCTGTAAACGACTGTCGCCGAAAACCCGAAAACATCAATTCGGCACCGTTCTCAACAACTTCAAATTTCACGAAGCACTACGCAGAGAATTTTGACAAAAGACCTCGTTCAATGGGTAATGGAGCAAAGTGAAGTCGCATTTCCATCTGAATGGCTCTGAATGGCTGGCTCACGTAGTCAACACAGGTCGAGTACTTGATCTTGTACTCTGCACCTTACAATCCTGCTTAGTCAGTCATGCTATGACAACTCTCAGTAACACTGAAAAGGTGCATCCGCCTTTGGACATAATCATAACACTTACCGAAGACATAACTCTCTCCTACAATACAGAATTGTCAAAATTAAACTTTTTCAAAGCTGAATTCGATCTTATAAACAAGAAATTAAATAACATTAATTGGTCACAAAGGTTTAAACCATTTGAAAACGTCGATGAAATGGTTTCAGATTTCTGGAACAGATAAAATATAACCCCAAGTCGTTTTGGAGTTTTGTCAAGGCCAAACGAGGTGGATGCAGTGTGCATCCAGCTCCTATGTCTGATGGGTTAACTTCATCAGCAGATGCGCATGAAATCTGCGCATTTTTTGCAACCTACTTTTCTTCAGTTTACACTCACGACTCGGGTAATGTTTGTAGTGATCACGATCATGCGAACTTTCTTTGGGCCAACAGTCAGTATCTTACAGTTCCTTTAGTCCACCCCGAAAAATTATACAAAAAACTTTGACAAGGTCTCTCATGGGATTCTATTACATAAATTGTCTATCTACGGTATATCTGGTTCATTAATGCGTTGGCTTAACTCTTACTTAAGTGATCGATTTTTTTATGTGGTAGTTTATGGATTCAACTCATCGTCTCGGGTTTTCACGTCTGGAGTACCCCAAGGATCCCATTTGGGCCCAATCCTGTTTAATTTCTTTATAAATGACCTCCCTAATTGCCTTCGATACTCAAAACCTTATATGTATGCGGATGACTTAAAGTTTGGAAAAATTATTAGAGACTCGCTAGACTCACAGTTATTGCAAACAGATTTAGACCGACTTGTAATTTAGTGTAAACAAAACAAAATGCTTGTAAATCATAAGAAATGTGCTCATGTAAAGTTTACCAGAAAGCAAGGGATTCAATGCACAAGTTATTTCATAGATGGCCACAAAATTCAAGAAAATGATATAATAAAGGAATTGGGCGTACTCTTTGATAGGAAATTAACCTTTGTACTACACATAGAGAATCTTATTAAGAGAGGATCTAAGCTCTTGGGGTTTGTTATTAGAACTGGCAAACCATTTCGGAACCCCAAAACCAAAATTCTATTATACTACAGTCTTATAAGGAGCATATTGGAGTACGGTTCCGTTGTCTGGTTGTCTTGTTCCGTTGTCCCATATTATTCCACTCATTCACTTCGTATTGAAAGGCTACAGAAGCGCTTCCTTCGTCATCTGGCATTCTCTGTCGGTATGGATAGGGAACTTCGTTCATATACGGAGAGGCTACATCATTTTAAAAAGCTTACTTTATCAGCAAGGAGGGACGCTATAGACTTGGGCTTCTTGTTCAAGTTATTTTGAAACGATCTTGACTGTCCACAGTTGTTATCACACTTTAATTTTCGTATTCCAGCTAGAATTCCACGTAAACCAATTACCCCTCTCTACCCCCCCATAAGTAGAACAGTATTAGGTTCAAATTCACCTGTATCAAGATTGTGTCGAATACTAAATAAATATAGCGACCCAGTAGATATTCACCATGACTCTGCAGTTTCATTTCGTAACACACTATATAAATTGTTGATTGATGAGTGTCAGTGTTAGTTATAAGACAAACACACATACAATACACCGTACTTGCACATGCCAGAATTTCCAACAAACACACCCGTACATCCACTCTTCACTATATAATTATACGTAGTCACACACCCCTCTGTTTAGTGGCTTAACCTCCGATCCCAAGACATGTGTCATAGGGCTGACAGAGGCCATACTCAGAAACGCAGACGCATACTCACAATCACATCAAATCACGCGCACATCATACAATGGATAAAGCTTATTTTAAAATCATAATGTTAAGTTTCATATTTAAATGCCTAATTTTAGTTTACATTTGCTAATCTGTACGTGTCTTAATGCATGTAGAGTTCACCTGTAAGTAGTTATACATAACTTGCATTGTAAAATCTGAATGTTTATATTTTAAGCACTATGTAATAACTGTTGGTGTTCCTTTTTCAATAAAATATATATATATATATATATATATCCTTTCAAATGTTGAGGAAGAGAAAAGTTGTTGCTCGCTCCTAACAGATGGCGTTGTTTTGTAATTTCTTCCAAAAGCGATTGAGATATACCTCTATTTCAGTATATTACAATGTACTCTGTGGTTTTGCGGTATTTTCAAAACAAACCATAGACAACATTACGTGTGCTGTCAGATGCTATGTTATACCATTTAAAACAAATAAACAGCTAGACTGATGTTTTTCTAATTTTTTTTTTTTTATTGATGAATATCATATTTTAATACTTATTATCTTATTCCGGACGAAGACAAATCCAAAAACACAAATATCATAAAAATTGGTCCAGCCGTTCTTGAGTTATAAATGATGTACCTAACTAACACGACTTTGTTTTATATATATTCAGGTGTCCCAGAAAGAATGGATAATCCTGGAGCGCTTAATAGTACAGCTATCTGGCGTACAAAAAAAATACTCAAAAAAATAAAATTGGAGCCAAAATTATGAAGTTTAAAAAAAAATACTTTTTTGTTGTCCTTACTGTAGTATGTAAGTACAGTAAGGACAACAAAAAAGTATTTTTATAAGTCCACTAAACTTTTTTTACTGGGGCTGCCTAAAAGAACAGGTGTACTTTAAGCCCATTTCAAGTTTGGAGGAATTACGCAGTCGTGTTCAGGAGGCTGCTTCAAAAATTAATAAACGGCGCTACGCACGACTTCTTAAAAGATCATTTATCAGAAGATGTCGAGCTTGTATCCGAGTTGGTGGCAGACAATTCGAACACCTCTTATAAAAAAGATAAAAAATAAAGATGAATTTATCTACAACTTAAAGCTTTTTATTATAACAATTTAAGACAAGATTTATTCAGTCGAATTTACTTTTTTGTATCTAAATAACAATCACTGCATATTTACGTTAACTAAAATTATGTATAATCATCATCATCATCATCAGCCTATCGCAGTCCACTGCTGGACATAGGCCTCTCCCATTACACGCCACTTTGTAAACTGCATTAACTGCGCATTTTTTTTAAATAGTTGGCCCCTTATGTTTTCATACATTTTTTTTTCACAAAAGGCTCTCAAACTTTGTCATAATTTTTTTTTGATAAAATTTCATGTTAAAAATTTAAGTTGATATTTTTTTTCCAAAGAAGTGCAATAGTTACTAATACTATTTACTGCATTTCTAAGAAAATTATCTGTGAGGAATAAGATAACCCCAAAAACGCAACAAATTTCATTAATTTGCGTGGTGGTGTACATGTAAGTACAGTAAGGACAACAAAAAAGTTTTTTTTTTTAAAACTTCATAATTTGGGCACCAATTGGTTTTTTTTTGTATTTTTTTTTGTACGCCAGATAGCTGTACTATTAAGCGCTCCAGGATTATCCATTCATTCTGGGACAACCTGTATAGATTAAAATTAACATTTGCCTTCTAACTCACCTACATTAAAAATAAAGATGGAACTTGTATATTCTAAAGAAACCTATTAACTCTATTGTTGGACATTGCGGGATAACTTTTCTATTGAAATGTATTTAAAAGTTATACTTCGTACAATGGGTTAATATGTATCATAATTGTTCAATGGCAACGGAAAATATACCGAAACTCGGTAAAAGGTTAGTGAATCGGCCAACACTAGATTTCAAATTCAGAAGTTGATTATTCAGATCATTGACTATTGTTTAAATAGTAGGTCAGTAAAATTAAATACAAAATTAAAATTTAGAATTCAGATTTTATTTATTAAGTGATTGAAAGTCGTTTACTCTTTTTTACAAGGAACTTTGTGTAGGTACATCTCTAACCGTCAGTTGTCGTCATAGACAATTATTGCTTGGTTGTCATTTGTCACTTTGTAGTATCTGCCTGGTGACATTTGACTGATTTAGTGATTTTTTGTGCGAATGTTTTCACTATTTCTCACAAAATCGGTTTAGTGAGAACCACAATGTTTTGTACTACATTGTGTAATTTAGGTGTTTTAACTATAACTTTTTGACCAACTTGATAAGATCGCAATTAGTCTAACACGAAGTTGTTTTGCCATCGAACGTTATCATGGTCATATAAACGAATGAATTTGTTGGTGAATTTTCATCTAATTACTTTATAGTGGTGCCTTTTACAAGCTACAATGTTTGCGAGTTTGAAGAGTAAAATAAAGGAAGAAACTGGTAGTGATATTAGTAAACTGACGAGTAACTGGCGTAACGGTGCTTTTTTAGGCAGAATAACGCTTAGAGATGATTCTGTAAGTATATTTCATAATGTACTACAAAAGTTTTTATACCATTTTATTAAAGAAGGACGAACCATTTTTTTTGTAACAATTACTCAATCTATTGTAATATACAATCTAAAAAATAATGTATATAATATACAATCTAGAATTACTAATCTACGCAACAACCAATAGGATACAAAACATTATTTTGAATTGACTCCAATTCTTGACTCTTTTACATTGGCAGTCTATAAATGCAGGTTAAACTGCCAAGAACAGTTATCATTGCAATTTCTACAGGTATGGCATGGACTAGTTAAATACTATACCTTAATTTAAAACAAAACTGTTCATATTATGTTAACCCCATGATATTACTTAACATTTGCATAAAAGCTGACCATATTTGACAACTTAGCTGTAATTATCTGACCGTGAACTTCACAGTGCCTACATCTTGGGTATTATCTAGACTATTTCTGTTTGTTGTGTTAAACTCAGTCCAGATTAATGTAAAACAATTGTAAATACTTGGTGTACAGAAAACTTTAAATTGCTCTGCAGCATTAAGTTTCAGTTGAATAATACTTAGCTTCAGTAGAAGTAGAGAACATATTCTAACGTAGTAGTAAGTAGAAGTTCTAACGTAGTAGAGTAGAAGAACATATTCTAACAAAAAAAAACTTTTCATTACTTTTACTACCTAAAGAGAAAGATAAGTTGGTAGTTAGTGGATTAAAAGCAATATCGTTTGGCAATGATACTTATTACCCATAGGTAATAAGTATCATTGCCAAACGATATTGCTTTTAATAAATAACTACCATATCATCTTCCTACTGTTTCTCCAAGCTAATTTGGAATCGGTGAAATGACTTCTCTTCTTCCACACTCCTTGAGCACCTAACATACTTTTTCATGCACTCCTTTACTTCATTGGGAAATAGTATTGGCTATGTATTGATTTATTGTTTTTAATAAATAAATAAATAAATAAATAAATGTATAGAAGTGCACATAGTATGAAGCGAAAGATACTTGGGAATGTATGCTACCTGTAAAAGGAAATGAAATCTCATCTAAAATATCAATCTAAAGTCTCACAGATTGTGACTTCTACTAGTGCAGAGCTGCAGAAGTTGAGAGATGTATCATCAACAGCCTTTAATAGTCCACTGCTGGACATAAGCCTCTCCTTAGAAAGGAGGTTTTGGCCTACTATACCACGCTGGCCAGACGGGTTGATATAGGGTTTGTGTCAAGTGGTCCGAGGGGATTTCCACACGTTAAAGGGTTTGTGTCAAGTTTTCCTTCTCTCTGCAGTGCTGTTGTTCTGCGTAGTTTTTTCCCTTAGTCGGCTCTTACGACACCCATGGGATGAATAGGGGTGGTGACACTCTGTATTCTTAATCCGTCACCACACGGACCATCCGTCACCACACGGACCCTAATTCTACTGAGATCTAATTATTACTTAATTTCTTAACTTACCACAGTTAATAATTGTGTGTAGAATTGAAAACTATAAAATTGTTTTATTTGTTCATTCCTTTCAGTCAACGGCAAGTCCCTCTAGTTCTGGTGGTCATGGAGATACTACTTCTGATGTAAGTTCTAATATTGTGATACTTGATATTTTTTTCTTAATAATCAAGAGAATAATAATACAAGAATAATAATACAAATAGCTCTCCATTTGTCTCATTAAGGGAAAAATGCTAGCTGAATGGAGTTCTTATATATTATTTAAGAAGTATATTATCCAAAGAAGTAGCTTATTGTTCTTTATAACAGAGTACCATGAAGCAAACTGACCATAAAATTCAACAACAAAAAAATTGATTTATAATTAGACTATTCACATGCATTTGAAATAATATTCTTGTAAAAAAGCTGTGTAAAAATAATTATAGACACTTGATATTTTATTATTTTAGTCGATATCACCTCAATTGGAGTCGTATTTGTCGGATCGCACTGGTGGGAAGGTAGACCAAGCAGCGTTACAACAACAATACGCGTCGCAGTTGGAGGCCAAGCTGCGAGAAAGAGACACCTATTGGGAACAAAAGATTGAAGAACTGAAGCTTTCACTTGCGTCCGTTCAAGGTCAGACATACGGCAACGCTTTTGTTCACTAGTAGGTGAACTGATGTGTTTTTTTATATTATTTGATATTAACATCTGTATATGTTGATATCTTATCACACTTACATCTCATAATTTATAACACACACTTACCTACATAATTTAAAAATAAAATAATTATTTATAATAAGAATTTTGCGCCTTTTTCTTCCGTTGTGGTCTTCCCTAATAACTCTTAGTATAAGCAAAGATAGTCAAAGTCAATTTTTTATAAAACTTTCACCAGAAAACATATACAGAGACGGCAATTTATTCTAGATTTTACAGAATTTTTATAAACTAATGTTTTAAATGATTAAGGCGAGGAGGCGGCAGCCGCCCAAGCAGTAGCCCGAACTGCTCAGGCTGAGGCGGGTAAAGCGATAACAGAACGAGACGCTGCCAAAAGACTCATCAGTGATCTAAAAACTCAGCTCGCAGCCGCCGAACGAGCCCAAGACAGACTAGACGCTATTAATGTAAGTTACAATTATATATAACAAAAATAACATCCGAATTGATAACCTCTTCCTTTTTAAAGTCGGTTAAAAATGTCAAGATTGCAGATTACAGTTCTTATTAATATGCAGTCATAATCACCTGCAATATTTAATGCGCTTTGTAATTAATAGTGCCAGCCAGAGTAGGTTTATGAGCATTTAAATGTTTAATAGCAGCAACATATTGCAAAAGTTGCAACCTTAGATTTATTGCCTACAACCTTCCTACAACCTTGTTACTTATTAAATTTGATTAAAAAAATCAATAGATTTAATAAAAACCACGATTACTGCAATAGAAACATATTTGACGGGAATGCTGGTGGCAAGGTACCAAAAACGCAAATGAGGCTTTTTTTTAACTAAATTAGTCTACAACACATAAAATGGGAAATCACACTGATTAGTTTAGAAAACTTCCTGTTACTCCAGACCAGATTGTTACAATATCGCGCCTCATTTCCGCCGTTCAATTTACGAAATGTTGGTAATATATTATCATGCTGCTGTATTGTATAGCCTTCTTTACATAGTAGGTATAACATAAAGTCGCTGTTTTTCTTGTAAGCTTAGATCTTTCAAACTACGCAACGGATTTAATGCGTTTTTCACCAATAGAGAGAAGAGTGGTTCAAGAGGCGAGTTTATATGTATAATACATACATATTATGGTAGAGGAAATCCGAGAATTTTAAAGGTTTATAATGTGAAGTCGTAAAAAACATGTTTTTGTGCGTTTACGTTGCAAACGATGGTTAAACCTTACAAGATAGATCAAAATAATGTATCTACAAAAAAGTCCGCGACGGTATATGTCTATCATATAATTTTTATCTTTTACATATTACAAAAAATAATAGGTAATTTACGACGATATTTTGAACAATACAGTATTATAAATACTATATCTACATTTAGTTATTGCCGAGGGATAGAAACATTTAGCAATTACTGGTAAAAGCCAGTAAGTAACTTAGAATCTTAATTTACCGAAAGTTCATAAAATTTGAATAACCATTCCTAATAATTTATTTTGAAAATGAGAAAAAAGAGGGAAATCCCTTAAAATCCTATCCCTGAGCTGGGTGTCAATATACTTAATTAGTAATGTCTCGTTTCATATAAATTACGCGATACAACTTAGATGAAAATAATAATACTTGACAGTGTTTTGTAGAACGTATTGCTAGAAACGCTTTCCAGACCGGCTATACGATTATTATGCTACTAGATTCTGTTATCCTATGCACTACACGTTTCCTATATGTATATAACAGATAACTGAATACTTTTAAAATTTGTTTATATATTGTAGCTTAATTTTGTTTCATCGGTTAAAATTGGTAAATAAATTGCCATTTATATTTTTTGAGCTATAATAATAGATATTTTCATATCCCTTTTTCTTAAGCTTCGTTTATTTTAAATTGATTATTTTTATAATGAAATTCAGTAGCAAAGTTTTAAGTTGAGTTTAAGTTATTTATAGTTTAGGTACATTCTTTGCACATATACATCTATAATATTACGTGTTATTATTCATTTGCCTACATATTAAACCGGACATAAGATATACTGTATATCTATATCCACGGAACAGTGACTTCCTATAACTGAAATAAAACCTATTAGTTCTAAATGAAATAGATTTCTAGTTTTGAAATCATTATTAAAATCGGTTTTGTAGCCTCAGTCCATCGACTATAAACACAACATTATTTCAATAATTTTAGAACAGTGGCAATTTTTTTTCATGGTATTTCGAGATATAATGAATAAAATAACGATCTGAATACCAGGAAGAGCTGGAACAGAGTCGCCGAGAGTGGGCTCGCGAGCGAGCTGAGCTAAGCGGAGCGTTAAGCATAGCTGAAGCACGTGCAGCTGACCTTGCTGACAACCTCGCCGTGCTCAGTGCCGCGCTACCACCTGAACATCCTCATCATCATATGAACGATGACGGTTAGTACCTAAGCACTTAACATCTTTCTAATGCAATAAACGAGTATGTGCACCCTTGTAAATCTGGGAGAGTCAGAGCATTTCAGATCATGATGTATGGCTTTCTGTAGATGGTTTAAGTGCGTAGAAGTGTCAAGTGTTAAAGGTAACTCACAAAATACTCTAACACAAGAAATTACGTTAATGATTGTATTGGTTAATGCTGCACTTCACATCTAAACCGCACAACTCATCCCCCAGTATAAGTATAGGCTATTTGATAAAATAATACTAATTACAATAAGTTTACTACACCACTTAATTTAAATTTGGAAATTGAAAACTTCCTGCATTCTCATAGTTACCTATTTAAGGAACTGTAAGACTACTTGCGCAATGATCTCTTACAAACGATATACATTAAATAAACAAAGGTTGTAAATCCTAAAACACAAAAAAAAACATTAAATTCATACATACGATAATTTCATTATTAAACTTGTATAGTTCTGCCCTGAATAGAGTAGTTTATTTTATTTAATTTAATAATTTACATTGTTAGTTTTTTACAGTTTCAACATGTATACAACAATAAACCATTTAATCTACACCAGAAATATTTACTCATATTGTGTTCCGCAGACAAACGCGAGGTAACACCAACGGATTGTGCAGATTATGACCGCGTGTGTCGCGAGCGTGCCGTACTCACACGCCAGTTGCAGGAAGCCAAGATGGCGCTCGCTGACGTCAAGACTTCCTGGAGCGGACAGATTGCCTCCCTCGAAACACAGGTAAAAAATAATTATAATTGACAAATTGTACTTTTGAAACATCAGCGCCTAACGTCAGAACACGTTTTTATCTTTATAAAGTGGAACCATACTCAACAGGGATAATATCGTGTCCTTTCTTCGTTCGACCTCGGCTCTTTCATTCTTTTATATCTCATCTAAACATCCATTATGGCAATAATGCGGTTGTGTAAATATAATTTTCCGCATTATTACAAAACGTGAAATTTAAAAGAGCAGTCTTAGATTTGGTAACCATGTAAATTGATGGTTAAAGCGAGTTCTGAAATAAGACTAAATGAGCTGTTCAGCTGTACTTGTACTTTTACTGTTGCAAGTTAATGTTCCATACCTTCCATACTTGTAGCATTATACTGTATTATTGTAAAAGATTTATTGACCAGCAGAGTGCCTAAAACTATTAGGCACTCTGCTGGCCAATAAGTCTTTCATGCTTAGTGGATAGCAATTTGACTGTACTCGTCACAATCTACATTTTCTACTTACTATAAACCGGTACCCGTCTGGCACCATAAACAATTAAAAGCACAGTTCTAAAGTTTAAAAAGCTGCAGTAATTCAATCAAGCGTACTTGCATTCATTTCTTGTATAAAGTGAAAAGTTGGGTTTTGTATAGTTATAGACAATATTACACATAATGATGCCATATAACTATGGTTTAATCACTGCATGGTGTTGCATGCTAATGAGAGCATGATGCATGGTAAATGCTCCTAAATATTATTTGAAAAGGACATATTGTGACGTATTCTTACCTTTTGACGGCGCGCTTAGGGCAAAGGTAGCCGCGACTTCTATTTTAACGTCAGTGCTGCCGACAGTGCTTTGACTGTGAAGTCTAATACTTTATATTATAAACGTCAAAACGGTGCATTTTGTTAAAGTTTCTAATAAATAATAAGTTTTTTAACAATTTATTTCAAACATAAGAAACTTCCTTATTGTTTTGGGTGATGTGTATCGTCCTTCTGATTAGCAGAGGTAGTGTAAGAACCAGAGATCAGACGGGTTCATCATTTCTATATTCAGCTCCAGGTAGACAAGGTTTTCATGTACTAGTATTATTTAGAATATTGTTTTTCTATAACAATAAAAGTAATTTAACTTAAAATAAGAAAAAAAAACTGTGTTACTAGTTGATTAATTACATTATGATACACTTATAATACAGAGTTGTGGTTGCTAGGTGGCCCGCTTGTCACGGCAAGCAGGAGAAGAAGGCTCGGAAAGGAGAAGAGTGGAAATAGAGAAGAAAGAGATGCAAGATAAACTGAATGAAATGGCGGCTGACCTTGAAAAGACTAAACAGAATTTAGCTAATAGTGAGGCGAAGGTATGTATTTCGATTATTTATTTAAATCGATGTTGGTAAATGATAAACAGGTAAGTCATATCGCCTGAATTAATCTACTAATTGACTAATATTTACTATATAATACTGACACCTATATGTGCTCTTGTAACAGGGCCTTTAGTATAGAAATGTAAAGTTTTATCTTTGATCTGTAAACAACAAAATGAAATGGAAAAATAAAAAAATAGAAGTAACCCAAAAAATCTTTATAAAACAATATAATAAAAGAACAAAATATTCAATTCAACAGCTCACATACTGTTTTTAAGTTTCCGTCTTATATCGTACATTTATTTTTAGTATTTATGCATGAGGAATTTTAAAACTCAGACTAGAATTTTATTAATCATAGATTAGGTCATTGTCCTACATCATATGCTGAGTACATTATGAAGTGTTGCCACGACTAGTCTAGATATGTATATATTAATCCATATAGAAAGTCTCCGCGATTTCCTTTCTTCCTTTTATTTTATGAAAGAAGTTGAATCGAGTACATATTGATCATTATTACATCTGACCTTTTGTCATTTTCAAGTAACTTCATAAAGCCATCGATATAGAACTTCTCTTGTTCAACTTCGAAGAACTAGGTTGAAGCTTTTTAACTGTACTTCGGACGGACAATTTCTTACCATATGAGAGTTTTACAGAGACGGGAACAAATAGTAATCAGACAGTGCATGGTCCGAAATACACGATGATCAACACTTTCCAACTAAATTCCGTCAATTTGTTTTAAGATGCTGTGTGTCGACGTGTTTCCCACAAAACTCCCTTTCTGTATGGCTATTTAGTTGTTCGTTGAGCAGTCGAATCGTTAACAGAACGCCGAACTGATGGTTTCCAGAGGTCGCAATAGCACCTCGTAATGTAATTTTTTTTTTCAATAAATTGCTATTTATAAATGATAATAAACTGTTCTGTGCTTAGTATTTATTGCCTCCACTATTTCTTGACTTGCGTGCTGGTCTTTCTCGACATTTTGCAAAATTTAAGGCAATAAGACGAGTGTTGCCCTACATATTTACATCAACAGTATCTTGTGCCAAATACCCAGGAGACTTTTTATATGACCTATTACAATATAAATTCCAAGTAGTTAGTTCCTTTGTTTAATCAAAAAATGAAATATGTGAGTGGTATGAATGACGCTCAGGTGGCGCGTTTGAACGGTGAAGTCCACGGGTTGGCCATGGAGCTGAAGTCCCTGCGCGGCGCCGCCAGCCACGCGGCCGTGAGTCCCAGCCTCTACACAATATAGCGATACTTGTCACCACACTAGCTGCATAATCGCCTAAACACGTAATGGCGCACAACTAGTGCTGTAATCTTGATTCGCAGTAGGTACCATTTGATTTTAGAACGACATTATCATTAAAAAAAAAACAAAATCAGTTAATTACAATAATACAATAAATAATATTCGAAAACTCCTGACTCCTTATTGGAGTCATTTAATCATTAAATTCAGATTTTGTAACAGAAACATTATGCTTTATTATGCTTTTCTCTTTTAATCCTCGCACATTTGTTGAAATTCCTGTTCTGTGCGCGTGATCAGCTCAGCCATTTTAGTTAAAAGTAATTATTAGGTGTCGCTTGTCCAGAATCATAATTATAGTGATTTAGTATTGCGTCATTACATGTATGATAAGAATACGTAGCTGTTTACTGATTGATTGTCTATGTTTAAAGACTTATCTGATTACTTTTAATTCCTTATTTTGTGACTTAAGTGTAAAGCCGTGTGATCAACAACAGGGTGCCAATGAACGTTGAGCATACCGCTTTACACATGTGTAAGGACTGCACTGTTGGCCTAGCTTGCTAGCTTTGTGTGTATAATAAATAAGATATTGAGATTCTTTAAAATCCTGTTGACTGGTTCACAGTTATTGTATAAAATATGTACAATTTCTGCATACAATAGCTGTAAACCGCTTCGTGCTTAACTCTTGGCGCACATATTCCTAATTAATCTAGTCTTTTTGCTTTGATACAAATAAGTTTAATTGATTGCAAATTGAAAATACTTTTCTATATATTGTATCACGGCAGAAAAAAAACGTGCACGGGGTTCTATTTTACGATGTTCCTGAATAGCATTTAGATAATAGACTTTCTTAATCTTTATGTATATTTGTTATTGTGATTAAATATTAGTTTAATTTTTATTACTTTGCGTAGCTTTTAGAAACAATAATAAAATATTTATGGTAGCTTTTCTGATCTTTATACTGTGACCATTTGGTGTGTAATGATAGTCTATTCTGTGTTATGTTTATTGTAAATTTTATAATTAAACCCTTATCCTAACCCCCAATTTAAGATTTTAACATCTAACGGTACATACCTAAGAACTTATAGTGCAAAATAATAATATTGTACAACGATAGGCTAAATACAGTTGCAAAAATGTTTGAGGCTTATTTTATTTGAGACTCGCGTATTGCGCTTTGCATTTTTGTTGGTTCACATCCTGAGGCAAGGCTAGAAACCTTTATCTATATGCAATCACGCAGAGAGGCAGTCTTGTATTAATCTCCTTAGATGCCAGGTCGGCACGAGCTTGTGAAGTATTATTACACAAAAAACTGCAATGTATTGATTAGTTTTTAAGAAGCCATATGTTCGTTACGACTCCCGGTATACGACAGACGAAAGGGAACCAACTATCCTGTATGAAACTGCAATTTATGAACTAAGATTTTTTGTAACAAACATCGAACTAAAAACAAGAATTAACACAATGGTTCTTACTCCATGGAAGTAATTTTGTTATGAAATCCAACAATATTTATTAATATAATGAGTATGTTTAGTTTTCACATAGCTTGCTTAACAGCGCAGAACAGTATCGATATCTCACTGTGAGTGTTTTTATCGAGATCGTCGCGCGTCGTGTAGATAAATTTATTATGTACAAGTCACGTGATGCTTGACGGAGGAAGTATACAGTATATTATTAGTCATTGTGTTTACACAGCTGGTGGTACGTCCATTGTAGTAAATGATTCCAAGTGTACCAATATGATTGTTGGGAAACCCGTCCATTCCAAGTAAGTTTAGATAACCATATTTATTTTATACGGAGCAAAATTATGAATTAAATTGACACAATAATTGTTATTTTATTGTTTGTTAAATAAATTATTTTGGTGATACATTATAACTTTGATTTTCTTCATTTCCCTTTGGTTTGCATGTGGGTGTTGCTTATTGGCTTCTAGTCTTTTGCATGCTTTAATCACTGGATTACTTCAGTTTTTAACTGTGTAAAACCTTTGTAAAACTAGTTCACTATGAACGCTAATAATACCAGTAAATAACTTGTGGAAATTCTTAAACAAATAGCCGAATGACTTTTGAGACGATCGGCTTTGGTCACGCTAAAGTATTTTTTGTATTCCTCTATACCATAGACACCTCTGTACCAGACAGTTATTTTTGCATTTATAATTTTCGTGTAAAGTGTATAGATAATCACACTACTGCTAATCCATAGTTCCAAACCGACACTTATTACTAGCGTAGTCACTTTGTCATTGGTACAGTTTAATTTACCATACAAGCAGAATTAGGTAATACTGATATCGTGAGTGTTCAATGAATTCCGGTGTGTTAGTAATAGCAGAGGTAAAAGTGCGGTGTTGTAACGGGACCGGTTTGGTCGTGTTTACACAAACAGGTCTTTAGTGTTTGGTTATCTGTCGGACTGGACACGTGTGTGCACTCGTGCGCTCGGTCTAGAAATCTAGATTCGTTGGTAGAAAGCCTTGTAATGTGCTGGTGAGATTTACTAAAGTGAAAATATTATAATTAGTTAGTTTTGTGCGTGAACTTATATTTAGTGAGTAATATAACCCTACATCAAATAAGTAGTTCATGTGTTTATTAGAATCAAAAGTTTATGCAGTATATTTTATGTATGTGTATGTATTTTATAATGCTGCACAATGAGGTAGGGTTAAATCAAAGCATTGTTTATGTTTTCAACAGGTAAATATTAATGAATTAAGCTTCAAAAGTGACTCATACACCCGTCATGCATTCGTCATAAAACATTGTATAGATATTTAGAACACTAGTTTTACAAGCTATTGTTAATCATAATATCGATTGTAAATTACGAACTTTTATGAATAAGTGCTTTAATAGATTGACTTTAGTAATATGGATTAAACACAGAAAAATTTAAGAATTAAATTTATCTTTCTATTAAATAAAGATGAAAGCACTTTTTAATAAACATGCGTTGTCGGTAAACACTGCAGTAGCCCCCTTTACAGTGTAGGTGTCAAAACTCTAAATTGGCTATAAATTGAACCGCAAATCCACTGGATAAAAAGGCCACGCAAACACCTCTGAAAATATTAGATAAAACAGATAATATAAGCATTTATCAGGCTGCTAATGTAAATATCACGAGATTGATGTTGTAGCTTCAACACTAAGTTTTCACATATTATAAATTCCGGCTAACATAGCGACGCACGGTCCACTGTTTTACGATCGTTTTTAAACGTTTACAGGATAAAATGACGGATTTTGAAAGCCGAATTGAAGCGTTGACTGAAGCGAATAAAGAACTATCCGCGGCACTGGAGAATGAACGATCTATGGTGAAGATCCTCAGGGAGAAGGTGGATAAAAGCACCCAGCTGTACGATGAACAAAAGGTTGAGGTCAACCACCTTAACTCACTGGTGACGGAAATGCAACACGACTTTTTGGATATACAGAGGAAATTTGACAAGTGAGCTCCTTTGTGTTTGTAGCTTTGTAGCCTTATCTAATCTCATTTTTATGTATTAAATCAAATTTACGCTTTATTTTTATATTGTATAAAGTTCTTTTTAAATTTGGACTAAGTTATTTCAACAGTTAAATCAAGGATGATACACATTTAAGTCACTCAAATACAATGAAATAAATCGCATAAAACATACATATTTGAGTAATTTTTAACGAATATAGCATTCCGGATACTCTTGAGTTGAGCTGTTTTATTAATAACTACCGGGGTTTTTTATTAAACTATTCAACGTATGTAAAGTTTTTGTTAAAACATTTATTAAATCTTACATTAATAAAACCTGGCATGTATAAAGTGCTGATAGCAGTGGGTATATGGAATAGTAGTAGGTATATGGTCAAGGTCATATTATGACCTAGGCTTTAATATTGTTGTTTTTCTGCAATTTAAAAATAGTTCATCAGTTTCTTGAATGATATACAGTATACGAAAACTAACAATTCGTTAATAGCAAACAAAACACGCACATAGTGACAGCTAATCCATTAGGCTCTTGTTATTTCTGTACTTTACAGTATTTAAAATATAAGTAATTTCTAATGTTTTAGAGAAAAGCGTGAGAAAGATGAAGCGTTACTGCGCAACGCTCACATGTCGCAGACGATAGAGATGAGCCAGTGCAACGTACGCTATCACCAGACGGAGGTAGCTGATCTCAAGCAGAAGATAACTGAACTCGAGGCTGTCATTGCGCAACACAAAGAGGTTGGTTTTGAGCTATACTTATTTATTGCCAAGTAGTAAGTAAATGCCCTGCGTAAATGTCAATGTATGGTAGGCGTAAACACTATAAGAAATTCTTACACGTTCATAAAGAAAAGAGTCTCGTCTTAGATCTTTTGTTTTTTTTTGTTTTGATTGGGTAGATTATCCTTCTGAGTCTTTTGTTCCATAACAGGTTTTTAAATTTAAAAAAACACTCCAATTTATAATAATATATGTAGTATAATATTTATATTATATATAATAAAGACATCTTTTCGTAACGTATTATCAATGGTTTTATTATTTGATACTGGAAATTGTTTTTCCTACTTAACACCTTTTTAATGGGACTAATCCCACCCACACGCCCACCACTGTAACTCCTGTACACCAGGATCCACAGCAGTGACCCACGAACACACCGAGTTATGACACTCGGGAAGTCCCAGGAAGAAATTAAACTGTCTTGGAACCCGCAACGAAATTAATCAGAAGAAAATTGGAGGAGTTGGAAATACAGTAAATCCACTTCCCTCCTTAGCAAAGCGGGAGACAAAATGAAGTAAAATAGGCATACACCCTTTTAAACAGGGAAGCACCACGGCCACAAAATATTACGGGTCCTACATGAGCTATATTTGATTTCTATAATATGTATGGCAGAATCGCCTAAACGCACGGAAATTCACCCTAGTTGACACAAGATCCCCATAGTATACCGCCCCAGATGTCACCTGCAAGCTATTCAGCATTATATTACGTTCATTATACCAAAGACTACATTCCCAGAGGATATGATGAGCAGACTGTTCATAATGAGAGTTAGGTGTTGAGCATTGACACAATGGTGACTCGACTAATTTAAATGAATACAACTTGCTCTTAAAGTTACCATGACCCGTAAGAAATTGAGCGACACAGTGATCCACCTCAAGCCATGTCCTCGACAACCGTTCGCGAACAGATGGAAAAAATTGGTAAAGATGGCGCCCCTTGGATGATTCGTCCCAGCGTTGCTGCCATTCGTCTATGAGGTCATTATAGACATCGGACTGCTGTTGAAGCAATCTTGTAATTTTACCGCGATCCCGCGCGCCCAAGAAATCGCATTCCATGTTTTGTCTTGAATAGTACATGGCTGCACGTCTCTGCACCTCGAGATCGACCGGAAGGACACCTGCCAACACCGGCAAAGCCTCAGTGCTAACCGTCCTATATGCCTTGCACAAAAATATCAGTGCAAGTCGTTGGCCTTGTAACAGTTTGCGACGGACAGCGCCTACGGTCGCCCTATCGGCCCATACAGGTGCACCATAGCACATAGAACCTAAATAAGTAGCTCCGTATATGATCTTTAATGTATTAAATGATAGACCCCATGTCGCAGTTGATATCCTTGTCAATGCACAGAAACTCTTTTTAGACTTTTCATTAACTATTTTAATATGTTCGATAAATGAAAAGTTTCTTTCTAAAACTAATCCTAGATAACACACTGTGGTTTTATTTTTTACAGTAACATTGTCAAATCTAATGCTCGGCGGTGATTTGAGGTTACCTTTTAAAAGTAACTGGAAGGTTTTGTTGGGTGCAAAAGTTAAGCGATTACGTTCACCCCATTGAGATATCAAGTTCAAACATCTATTGGCTAATCTCTCAAGCCCCGCCCTAGTATCAGATTCCACCAGTAATAAGCCGTCATCAGCATACGCGTTCAGAGTACATCCGGATGGTATTGGTATCGTAAGAAAATCGTCGAAGCCGATATTCCACAAGTATGGACCTAGCACCGATCCCTGAGGACATCCCATTGTAAGCGCCTTCGACACAGAATGATGACCAAGTCTTAGTTTAGTTGTACCTTGTGAAAAGTACGAAGAGATAAGGGAATAAATATTTTTAAAACACCCCCGTGATTTTAATTTCAGCAACAGCATGGGCCACCATGCGTTGTCGAAGGCGCCAGATATATCTAGGAAAATAGCCAGCACGTATTGAAATTTTGACCCTGTGACAAACTTTCTAACCGATATAACAGCGTCAGTTGTCGATTTACCCAACGTAAATCCAAATTGTCTATCATGAAATTTGACTCCACCTGGCAGAAGCCGGGGCACTACAAGACGTTCTAAAAGCTTTCCTAACGATGGTAACAATGTGATTGGTCGGTAGGATTTAGGATCATCCGGTGGCTTGTCGCCACTTTTTGGTATTATACGAATATTACCGCACCGCCATATACGAGGAAATATTCCTTCAGCAATGCAACGTTTAAAGACAGTGAAAATCGTGTCACCCGAAAGTTTACAAGCTTCTTTTATCATTTTGTTAGATATTTTATCATCACCCGAAGCCTTGTTTAGCGGCAAGGATCTAATGATACCGAGAAATTCGTCTGAAGATGGTAAATCAGACATTGGAGACAGTGGTGGTTCGATGGCCCACTGCCTGATCTGTCGGTGATGATCAGTGTCGTTTTCCGGTCGATCGTCAGGTACGAGTGAGTCTAAAAGATATTCTGCTGTTTGTTCTACTCCTGTGGTATATCTGTTATTAATTTTGATGTTCTGTATGTATGCGTGGTCGATTGATCTATTTGCCTTAAATTCGTGATACAAAGGTGACCACGGGCCCTCTCTATCGAGTTTATCAACAAGTTTCTGAATTAAGTTTCCCTTGGATTTTTCCACAGCAGCTCTGTAGTGGGACCTGGCCACTCTAAGAGCAATGAGAGCAATGTTGTACAAATCTCCTGTTACGTTATGTTTTTTAATAGTGTTTAATTTTCTACGAGCTTTCCGGTAGCTTCTACGTAGTTCGGCTAATCTATCATTCCACCAATCACATCTACGAGTGTTAGTGATAGATCCGCGACCAATAGTTACATCAGCGCAGTATGTAAAAGTTTCTGATAGTATTTCTGCGCTTTCCTCAGCTGATAAACTACTGCGACTGAAGTCTTTAGTATGAGTTGCAAAGAGTGAACCAAACAAAGCCCAGTTCGCACCTTTAGTTTTATATCTAAAATTATAGGGAGCCCTTTGTGGATCCTGTGCAACCCTTGGTGTGAATTCGTACACGATCAAGCGGTGATCACTACAGGATGCGTCCGGAAGGACACGCCATCCGGATATCGAGACGTCGCCGCGCGTAAGCGTCACGTCAATAGAAGACTCACCCATTGGGTTGCAAAAAGTTGGTGGTGCATCGGGGGTATTGTGAATAATAAGATTCATTTCCGCAATGAAATCTTCAACCGCACAACGTCGAACCGTGTCGGTTGAACGCAACTTGCCATACCATACTTCCCTTCGCGGCACCGTGCGACTAACGTGTGACTTCGTATGCTAACAATTTTAATATTGTTTTCTGTGCTTTTATGTGACTAGTTTCCGGTTTGCGGGCGGCTAAAGGTTGTGTATAGTGTTTCTAAAGAATTTCAGTAAGTTTTATTGTTTTCTAAACATAAATATAGTGCCGAATTCTTTTATTACGACTATTGGTGAGTAAATTTATTATCTTACTAAAAGTGGGTAGGCGGTATCCTTTGTTTAAATTGATTTTTCTCTGCGTATTGTTTATTTTTGAGCTTGTTTTTTTTTTTTTTTTTCTTTTTTAAATTGTTGATTGGTGTGTCTTTGTTTGGCTATGTCGGTCGTTAGCGAGTTGCCGGATCCCGGCGGTACAAGTGAATTTCTAACACCAACCGGGAAAAGGACATTTGGCGAAGTGTCACCTGCGGATTTCACGCCGAAAGACGGAAGCCGTAGACGCATTATTAAGTCGGACTTAAGTGGAAATGTTTCGTCTCCTACCGGTCGTGATAACTGTGGGGAGTACAATTACTGTGACTTAGTGTCACAGGCCACCGATTACTTATCAAAAATTAATGAATTAGTTAATGATCAGGGATCTAGGATGAATGTAGGGAATAAAACGGCGATTATGGATATTACTCAGCGAATTACCGGTATCGTATCAATGTTAGCAATAAAATCCTTTAGCAACGAAGCGAAGTTAGCGAATTTTGAGCGACAAATGGAGGGTATCGCAACTCAACAAACGAGTTTAACGTACGCGGACAAACTTAAGCTTCGCTTACCACCTAAATCTGCCCCGTGCCCGGTACCTACTGAAGCGCGCGTTCCTAGGCCTTGTGTTATTGCCTATCCCACTACGGAACGCTTAGCGGACTATGCGACCTCGTCAGCAACGAAACAAGCTCTTATGAAGGCTATTAAACCGAGCGATGAGGGTTTCCAAATTGTAGGCGTTAAAAAAACCTCTAAGGCAGGCGTCGTGTTACGTGTAGCTAACGAACGGCAGCTTAAGAAACTGGAATCTGTAGACGCCATTAAATCAGCAGGTTTACGATTAGAAAAACCGAAAGGCCGAAAGCCCCGTATAATTGTAAAAGACGTACCCGGTTCTATGGAAGATCGTGCCTTCCTAACAGCTTTATACCGTCAGAATATCAAGGACGAATTAAAATTAAGTGAGAACGATTTTATTAAGTCAACCAAAATTGTTAGGCATCGTAAACTAGAAAATGGGCGTCAATGGATAGGCTTAGAATTGGAGGCAGCAGTTCGGAAACATCTAGCCAACACAAAAGATAAACTTTATATAGACTGGGCCACTTGTCGATTCATAGACGATATAGAAGTAGTTCGTTGCTTAAATTGTCAGCAATTCGGTCATGTACAAAAGTTTTGCACCATTAAAACCCCTACTTGTGCTAATTGCGCCGCCGCACACGAAACGCGAGCTTGTCCAGATAAAGACACACCAAATTTTAAGCCCACGTGTGCACAGTGCAAGCGGTTCAAAAAACCATCTGACCATCGATGCGGCTCACACGACTGTGCCACATACAAATTAAAACTGGAGCAGCTAATATTAAATACCAATTACTGAATAGTTCAGCTTAAAAAAAAAAAAAAAAAGAAAAAAAAAAAAAGTTTATAGAGTAACTTACTAAGTAATGGATAATATTTCGATAGGCCAGTTAAATCTTCATAACGATAAAATAGCTACATCAGAATTAGACCGTTTAATTTTAGAACAAAAGTTAGACATTGTCCTTATACAAGAACAATATCAGAGCGCTCGCTTGCGTCGTAATGTAGTACAGCTTGACTGCCGTTCGCAGGCTGGGATATATGTTGCAAGTTCTAATTTTACGGTAACATCTTTGCGTAATCTTATGACGTCACACTGCGCCGTTGCTGAGATCTCATCCTCTACCTGTAAGGTTTACGTAGTGAGCTGCTATTTTCAATATTCACATCCTATTGATCCTCACTTACATCACTTACGTTACGTCTTGCAGTACCTCGTGGGACATAAAATTATCATTGGCGCTGATGTCAATGCGTCATCTTCATTATGGTATGGCAAGTTGCGTTCAACCGACACGGTTCGACGTTGTGCGGTTGAAGATTTCATTGCGGAAATGAATCTTACTATTCACAATACCCCCGATGCACCACCAACTTTTTGCAACCCAATGGGTGAGTCTTCTATTGACGTGACGCTTACGCGCGGCGACGTCTCGATATCCGGATGGCGTGTCCTCCCGGACGCATCCTGTAGTGATCACCGCTTGATCGTGTACGAATTCATACCAAGGGTTGCACGGGATCCACAAAGGGCTCCTTTTAATTTTAGATATAAAACTAAAGGTGCGAACTGGGCTTTGTTTGGTTCACTATTTGCAACTCATACCAAAGACTTCAGTCGCAGTAGTTTATCAGCTGAGGAAAGCGCAGAAATACTATCAGAAACTTTCACATACTGCGCTGATGTATCTATTGGTCGCGGATCTATCACTAACACTCGTAGATGTGATTGGTGGAATGATAGATTAGTCGAACTACGTAGAAGCTACCGGAAAGCTCGTAGAAAATTAAACAATTTTAAAAAACACAACGTAACAGGAGATTTGTACAATAATGCTCTCATTGCTCTTAGAGTTGCCAGGTCCCACTACAGAGCTGCAGTGGAAAAATCGAAGGGAAACTTAATTCAGAAACTTGTCGATAGACTCGATAGAGAGGGCCCGTGGTCACCTTTGTATCACGAATTTAAGGCAAATAGATCAATCGACCTTGCATACATACAGAACATCAAAATTAATAACAGATATACCACAGGAGTAGAAGAAACAGCAGAATATCTTTTAGAATCACTCGTACCTGACGATCGGCCGGAAAACGACACTGATCATCACCGACAGATCAGGCAGTGGGCCATCGAACCACCACTGTCTCCAATGTCTGATTTACCATCTTCAGACGAATTTCTCGGTATCATTAGATCCTTGCCACTAAACAAGGCTTCGGGCGATGATAAAATATCTAACAAAATGATCAAAGAAGCTTGTAAACTTTCGGGTGACACGATTTTCACTGTCTTTAAACGTTGCATTGCTGAAGGAATATTTCCTCGTATATGGCGGTGCGGTAATATTCGTATAATACCAAAAAGTGGCGACAAGCCACCGGATGATCCTAAATCCTACCGACCAATCACATTGTTACCATCGTTAGGAAAGCTTTTAGAACGTCTTGTAGTGCCCCGGCTTCTGCCAGGTGGAGTCAAATTTCATGATAGACAATTTGGATTTACGTTGGGTAAATCGACAACTGACGCTGTTATATCGGTTAGAAAGTTTGTCACAGAGTCAAAATTTCAATACGTGCTGGCTATTTTCTTAGATATATCTGGCGCCTTCGATAACGCATGGTGGCCCATGCTGTTGCTGAAATTAAAATCACGGGGGTGCTTTAAAAATATTTATTCCCTTATATCTTCGTACTTTTCACAAGGTACTACTAAACTAAGACTTGGTCATCATTCTGTGTCGAAGGCGCTTACAATGGGATGTCCTCAGGGATCGGTGCTAGGTCCATACTTGTGGAATATCGGCTTCGACGATTTTCTTGCGATACCAATACCATCCGGGTGTACTCTGAACGCGTATGCTGATGACGGCTTATTACTGGTGGAATCTGATACTAGGGCGGGGCTTGAGAGATTAGCCAATAGATGTTTGAACTTGATATCTCAATGGGGTGAACGTAATCGCTTAAATTTTGCACCCAACAAAACCTTCCAGCTACTTTTAAAAGGTAACCTCAAATCACCGCCAAGCATTAGATTTGACAATGTTACTGTAAAAAATAAGGCCTCAGTGTGTTACCTAGGATTAGTTTTAGAAAGAAACTTTTCATTTATCGAACATATTAAAATAGTTAATGAAAAGTCTAAAAAGAGTTTCTGTGCATTGACAAGGATATCAACTGCGACATGGGGTCTATCATTTAATACATTAAAGATCATATACGGAGCTACTTATTTAGGTTCTATGTGCTATGGTGCACCTGTATGGGCCGATAGGGCGACCGTAGGCGCTGTCCGTCGCAAACTGTTACAAGGCCAACGACTTGCACTGATATTCTTGTGCAAGGCATATAGGACGGTTAGCACCGAGGCTTTGCCGGTGTTGGCGGGTGTGCTTCCGGTCGATCTCGAAGTGCAGAGACGTGCAGCCATGTACTATTCAAGACAACAAAACATGGAATGCGATTTTTTGGGCGCGCGGGATCGCGGTAAAATTACAAGATTGCTTCAACAGCAGTCCGATGTCTATAATGACCTCATAGACGAATGGCAACAACGCTGGGATGAATCATCCAAGGGGCGCCATCTTTACCAATTCTTTCCATCTGTTCGCGAACGGTTGTCGAGGACATGGCTTGAGGTGGATCACTGTGTCGCTCAATTTCTTACGGGTCATGGTAACTTTAAGAGCAAGCTTTATTCATTTAAATTAGTCGAGTCACCATTGTGTCAATGCTCAACACCTAACTCTCACTATGAACAGTCTGCTCATCATATCCTCTGGGAATGTAGTCTTTGGTGTAATGAACGTAATATAATGCTGAATACCTTGCAGGTGACATCTGGGGCGGTATACTATGGGGATCTTGTGTCAACTAGGGTGAATTTCCGTGCGTTTAGGCGATTCTGTCATACATATTATAGAAATCAAATATAGCTCACGTAGGACCCGTAATATTTCGTGGCCGTGGTGCTTCCCTGTTTAAAAGGGTGTATGCCCATTTTATTTCATTTTGTCTCCCGCTTTGCTAAGGAGGGAAGTGGATTTACTATGTTTCCAACTCCTCCAATTTTCTTCTGATTAATTTCGTTGCGGGTTCCAAGACAGTTTAATTTCTTCCTGGGACTTCCCGAGTGTCATAACTCGGTGTGTTCGTGGGTCACTGCTGTGGATCCTGGTGTACAGGAGTTACAGTGGTGGGCATGTGGGCGGGATTAGTCCCAATTAAAAAAATACCATAATGAAGATGACGCATTGACATCAGCGCCAATGATAATTTTATGTCCCACGAGGAACTGCAAGACGTAACGTAAGTGATGTAAGTACTTAACACCTGCCGCGCTTGAGCGATCGCTCCTCTCCCTGTACTCCAGGGCCCGCGAATGCGTTTAGAGGTTGTTTTCATCCTTCTCTCACACTTCCCAAGTAGTCTTCATTTTTTTTTCATTATTATATCAGAGATATGAAAGTGTCAGTTTTCCGAAAACACCACCTTGAATATGGCAAATTAGACCGGTAGAAAGACAAGACAAAATGACCGCGCCACCATATAGGATAGACACATAGCTTCTAGTAGAAATCATTTTATATTTGTTCCACGGTCGATACAGTCGCTTTAAATTGGATGTGGAACGAATTAATTAGAGCAAATAAAATAAATTATACACGCAAGTCGCGCCAGTCGCCAATCACTTGAACCTCGTGTAAAGTGGTTGTAACAGCCGAGGATAAAATAGCCCAAACGACACACGTTGAAAACTCGCTTGAATTCGCTGCTATAGTACCGTGTAAAACCTCTCCACGCATTCATATAATTGTCATCATTGTATTATTGAAAAATATGTTTAAATTCGTCTAGAACCGAAGATTTTTGTCAACTCAGTCATCGAAATACCATTATAGAAATAAAATGTATGTAATAAAATGAGCGGTTTTTAGTTTTGTACATGTTTGTTTAGTTCCGTATAATTTCACGCCATTTAGGGAGATTTGGAATTTTGAATTATTGTGCATTTTGTTTTATTTTTTGATGGCGCTTTTATTTTTATTACACCGTTAAAATCTAATTTACGTACCATTTTCTACATTTTCATACCCACCTTGCGTAATATACACGTCTCATTTCTAATTTGAATAATTTTTTAAATATGTTACAAATCCGATGAGGCTGTGGCCATAAATATTATTATGTATTTTGTTGTCATTACTTTCCTAATATTTGTTAAAATTACAGTAAAAAGAGAAGTTTCGTATATTTAATTTGCAGAATCAAGCGGCGTGTATGCTAATAAAGGAAGGCGAAGTGTTGCGCAAGACTGAAACCGAACAATTGAAAGCGAAAATTGAGGAAATGACTGAAAATGAAACTGTGCTTAAAAAGACTATACAAGACTTAGAAACTGAAATCTGTGATAAAAATAAGGTCAGTACGTCACAAATCATTTTGTTATATTGAGATTGACACGTTGAAGGTTGTAATAATTTCAAAGGTTACAATTTCAAAAAGAAGTCTGGAAAATCAATCAATGGATCTACGATAAGATATTGTCCATTGTGCTAAAAGAATGATATACTTAAGTTACTTACTTACTTTTTTAATAATAATAATATAACTATTAGGCTGTATGCTCAAGTAAAATGACACTTACTAGACAAACCATTTATAAAAATCTGTGATTTTCAAAACGACTTTATTATTAAAGTGACTCACACTTCCTTTTGACTTCTCGATACTATTTATAAGATACTATGAATGTGGTGCGTATGTTGAGTAGTTAACAGATTTAAATAAAACATTTTCAGAAAATAAAGACTCTAGACAACAGAATATCGGATATGAAAAAGACATTACAGCGAGAACTACAAAGCAGTAAGTCTGACCTCACTTCAGCTGAAGAACAAGACATTAGTAGAAGGTATGTCTCAACATTTTTAGAGCACTATTTTCTTAATTTATTGAACAGATTTAAATAGTTGATGATCAGCCTATCGCAGTCCACTGCTGGACATAGGTCTTTCCGTTACACGCCACTTAGATCGATTGAAATGATTAATTAAACTAGTTATGTCTTGTTTACTCGTCCATTGATTTTTTATACACGATGCGCATGTGATTAAGATGTATCCGAAGATATATCAATAATGTTAACTCGTTTTTAAAAAGTAATTTGTCACTGTTGTCGAACAGAAATGAAAAGTGGAATTTTGATATGTCATAATTTATACAGGAATGATTATTGGCAATTTCACAGAAATTAATAAATTATTTATCTCTGAGGATTACTTTAAAACTAGCCTGAAAGCATATTCTCATATATAATCATAATTTTATTAATCTCAAAGTTAAAATTAAATAATAATATGTTTATTTCATATTATACCTTAAAAAGGCTTGAAAGATAACTACTTAATAAAGTATAGGTTTATATTTGATATGCATTACTTACATTAATCTAAACATTATAGTTTAACATAACGCCATTGCAACGATAGCTTCTTTGTTTACGGATACGTCTAAAGAAAGCATAAAAGTTAAAGTCTTATCCCGTGCGCCTACTCTAATGCAATAGATAGCAGACGACGGCATGTAAAATAACACACTGACGATAGCAATTTTGAAAGGATCGTTTCGCACGGATTCCTGCCGATACAGGCCGGCAGGGTCTCTCGTGTCTTAAATCAAAAACGCGGTGACGAGTCGTCACTCTGGACGGTCAGCGTTCGATAGGTGACGGTTTGTAACGGAGCGGTCGTCCGGCAGATACCTGAAGCACGTGGTGCTGCGGTTCCTGACGGCGCGCGAGCTGGAGGCGCGGCAGCTGACGCGCGCGCTGGCGGCGCTGCTGCGCCTGTCCGCGCACGAGGAGGCGCTGCTGCGGGCCGCCGCGCCGCCGCGCTCGGGGCTCGGCGCCTGGTTCCCCGCGCTCAACACCTGAGCGCGCACGGGGAGGCGCTGCTGCGCGCCGCCGCGCCGCCGCGCTCGGGGCTCGGCGCCTGGTTCCCCGCGCTCAACACCTGAGCGCGCACGGGGAGGCGCTGCTGCGCGCCGCCGCGCCGCCGCGCTCGGGGCTCGGCGCCTGGTTCCCCGCGCTCAACACCTGAGCGCGCACGGGGAGGCGCTGCTGCGCGCCGCCGCGCCGCCGCGCTCGGGGCTCGGCGCCTGGTTCCCCGCGCTCAACACCTGAGCGCGCACGGGGAGGCGCTGCTGCGCGCCGCCGCGCCGCCGCGCTCGGGGCTCGGCGCCTGGTTCCCCGCGCTCAACACCTGAGCGCGCACGGGGAGGCGCTGCTGCGCGCCGCCGCGCCGCCGCGCTCGGGGCTCGGCGCCTGGTTCCCCGCGCTCAACACCTGAGCGCGCCCGATCATCACACCGAATACGTTTCATTTCCATTCCGATGTTCGTTTGGATCGTGCATGTATAACTAAAATATTTTTTATATAAATGCGAGTAGGTATCGATATGTTCTTTTACTTTTCAAAGTAAAATAAATAGTTTAAAAAAAATAAAAACACAAACGATAAAGCGTGAAGTGCTCGTAGCATATTTTTATCCTAATCGTATCGAGGGCACGTTTTAAACGGCCGATATCGAGCACCCCACGCTTTTTTCATAACATTTATTTTCTTAATAATTATTCTGTTATTTCAAAAAATATTTTTAATAACTCTTAAATCGATTTATCATCAAAGCTAGTATCTAGTTTAATTCTTTCTAAACCATAATTTATAGTTCACTTTTTAATTCGATTTGCTGTAAAAGCGTATTTTTTTATAGTCTTTAAACTATTAAGTATTTATTTTTTGTCTATTTCTCACACCGTAACGGTTGTCGGTAATTTGCCGTTAGCCATTACTCAAACTCCCTTCTCCGACAGAAAATTATCAATCCTGACCGATCGATACTGTTCAAGATAATGAGATAAATTTATCAAATTCTTGTATTATCATCGGTCTGTTACATAATCAAAGTTTAAATTTAAGCTGACGGTTTTAAGTAAAATTCGCGTTCAGAGAAACCATTACAATCATAAAAATATACACGTGAAACTAATAAAAGCGTGCCGTAAACGTATCATGCGGTACGGTAATAAATGTCACTAAGAACACATGAGCAAATTAAATATGGTATATTCAAATACAAAAAAATATTTAATGAACTCTTAAGATGTCGTAACACGGCAAGAACCGAGGCGAGCAATCGCAATACTGTTTTTCATTCTGCCGGGATTTAAATGTTCTAAAACTGAAATTGATGTACTCGATTTTTAAATTAGGTAGGTATATATTGTAATAAAATTATGTTTGGTACGTTTATTATAAAACCTAATTCTAAATGTACATGTTTAAAATACACACAGCATTACTTTAATACAGACACCATTATCTTAATACACAGAGTTACACGTAGCTGCAATGTTGTTTATATGTATATATGAAACATCAATATTATATCACTGCTTGTCTTCCCAACACCGCGTAACTTGCTGTAAGGATGTCGCAATTTATAGTAATTAGACGATTTATTCAGTATTGGATACATAAAACGGATACACGAATAAGAGAATGCTGCATTATAAGTATATCTATATTAATTATTATAACCATGATAGTATTTTTGAACACGATTATTGTAATATAGATTTTCAAAATTTAATTAAATTTGCCTTAATAGTTGCTAGTCATTATTAAAGATTGTATTTATTGTAGGTAATGTACGGATGTTTTGATTTTGAAAGGTGTTTTTGTAACTCGATTGTGTTGTCAGTTATGTTATTGCAATAACCTCTTGAAATTTGAAATCTTAAGTGAATTGATGTCTCGTCACCATGAAGTTGTTGTTGAAGAAAACATTATGGTCTCAGTAATTTAGAAATAATAAATACACTGCCCGTTTGTATTTTGTACATTTAAATAGGCTTTCGATAGATAAAGGCATGGATGTCAAAAATGTACTATATTAAGTATATTTAAATTCAAGTAGTATATAGTGCTAGCTGTAAATTTATAGTTAACTCCATATGTGTGACTAATGTGTGTATAAATTTATAACGGCCGTGCTTGAACCTGCCGGGGTAATAGGTGCTCTAGCTTGCAGATACAAGTGCGATACAATTAGTTGTTACATGAGACTATGTGCGATAACATGCGATTGCGACGATCAACTTATTCATTATTATTATTATTAAAAGCACTACAGTTGTTATAAGTTAGTTTCTTACAAACTGTTGACCATTGGTATTACGTACGTATTCAATTTGTACTTCTACTTAAACACACAGTCGTTAGAGTCTAAAGTCAATAATATAATTATTTGTCAGGTAATTAGGTAAAGATAATATTTGTTTATGCATTACTGTTTTCAAGTAAGTAATAAATTGGTACAACATTCCTTATGACATGAATGCAATAGTGGCATGAACACTGCACTTAACAGGTGGCAGATTTGATTATGGTTATTTTGAACTTTTATAAGAATTTTTAATACAGCTAAGTACAGTATCTCACGAGTAGAACAAGGAACAAATTAAAAAAAATGTGATCTCCGATAACAATCGCGATCAATTGATGTAAAAAGATCAATGTTAGTATTACTACGATATAAAGGTTTTAGTAATATAATATATAGTGATTGTTTGTAAAAGCAACGTGTTAGCAGCATCGTCAAATTGACACAATTGAAGGCACATTTTGTAATGTATGTAGATAGTGTAAAGTATGCAATGATCTGTTGATATGTTGAGTCTAGTGATAGCTTATTTAAAATAATTTATTGTTTTTTTCTGATATGTAACAGAGGTATTTATTTTTAGCTTGTTTCACAGTATTATTTATAAAAATGTAATGTATAGTTTTGGATTGTACAATTTAACTATATTAATCAAATGAATTATATTTTTATTCGTTTTTTTTTTTGTTTATATTTCCGGATGATTTGTTATTACTTTAACTTAAATAAAGTTACATTAATAATGTATGTGGTTTCTCTTGTTAGTTAAAACCAATGATGATTCTATTAACTTCCCCCCTTAACAGTCCTATATTGAACGTTTAAACAACTTTTTTTTTCAACTTCACACAGTCGTTCCTAAACTACGGTGCACGTCAAGTGCATGCAAAATGTTTTGCACTTGGCTCATTCCGGTGCCTAATATTGAAATTGTTGATTTTTTGTCAATTTGAATCAGTTGTCGTAAGGTATCAACACTGGCGTCACAAGGACGATCTTAATACTACCTATGTGAATAAAATGACAAAATTTTGTACCTATATAAGTAACCGGGTCGTTATTATATGTTCTACTAATAGGCAAATTAGCAAAAAAAACACCTTTTTGCTGTTAGAGACATTATTTGAGATAGAACAAGGAGGAAAACAGAAATACCGTTGTTCGTTATCGTATGTTCTACTGATAAAACAGTTAGTACAATTTAATTGTACTATCTATAGAACGACTAGGAAGAATAATTCTGTGTTTTTCTATCAATGGAACAACCAGGAAATTAATTCTCGGTTGTTATATTTAAAAAATATTTTTTTTTACTTTTCACCCGTAGTACGGTTCAGTTTGTAACAGTTATTGATCCATTATATTTGTATTGCGTACGGAGTTGTAAACAGTAACACCGCGAAATAAGATTAACTTACCACTGAAGTGGGTACTTAGGACACAGAATTTACTAAAAATGAATAAACAGATAATCAAAATGCTATTTCAGATCGGAAGACTAGAATCACCAGAGTGTCCCTTGCGGCTGGAAGCCGGACTTATACACGGTGATTTTGAAAGCATTTTGGAAAAAATTTGAATTATTTATCAGTAACAGAAGCTATATATAACGTTAATTTAATAAAATATATATATTTTTTATCATCAAAGTCGATCGTTTACAGAGAAAAAGTGAGAACCAGTAGTAGGGCTTTTCAATCACACGTAGGTAAATACTACGAATAGAAATACTATGCGTTTTAATATCGAGTCACATAAAATCGTATTCGCCAATAAAAACAAAGCTACCGAGTTGCGCCGGAGTCGTCCAACCAATGACGTCTGCCCCGTAAGCGCATGCGCGGGACTCACCTGTAATCGTGAGGCGTCCTTCGCTTTCAGTCGGTCAGTAATACCATAACATCGTGACGGCACGCTACATTGATTAGCGCTAAAATGAGTCGACAGTACGAATTTTCAAACGTGGAATACTTCTTGGCAATGGTACAGCTGTACGCTACTGCCAACTACAACTTGGAAGAGGCTCGGCGTTTGTATTCCCAGCCGGAGCATTTAAATGCACTACGGCTACGTGGAATTGAAAGCCCTCAAATTCCCTCCACACCTACCATCTTGGCTGCAACCCAACGTCTTCTCGACCACGAACAATTTCATGCGCCTACTCACGCGCAAGGTCAAGGACGTGTAAATTAATATTCGCCGGAGTGTAGTGCGTGCATACCCTGACAATGAGTTTAGTGATCGGTGGATAGGTCGAGGAGGGCCAGTGCCTTGGCCACCTAGAAGCCCCTGGATTTTTTCTTGTGGTCGGAAATATAAAGTTTTTTTTATACACGGGAATATGAAAGCCGTGATAATTTACGCATTGCGATAGTGGACGCTTTTGATAAAGTGAAAAGTGATAGAGACACATTAAGAAAATTAAAAAACAATTGCATTAAAAGTGGACGTTTGTGTATTGAATGCATCGGACTCCATTTTGAGCAGTAAGCATAGCATTTGTAAATAGTGTAAATAGGTATGTAAGTTAATTATTCTGTAGATAGCTCCGATTTTTTAAATACGCCTGAAATATTTATACCTACAGTCCGTTGATAAATTGATTTGTTGTGAAAAGAACAATCGTGGTTAATAATCGAAAAGAAGTTTAAATAAAATAGGTATTTCCGACGGTCCTAAGCCCGTGTAAAGTATGAAGGACAAATTGGAGTCTATCTACGTAAGTACTCGCTAGCTATAGGTATACTTTTATCAGCTGCTGTTAGCGTCAGCGGTGCGTAGCGGCCGCCGAAGCGCCCACGGACGTGTTTCATTGATATAAGATAATTAATGAATGATCAGTCCATTACTACTTTCCAAGTCGATCGAGTAAAAATGAATATTTAAACTGAAACTTTTTTTTTAGACAACATTACAATTGATTTAATCATTTTTATTGATACTATAGACGATTCCAAATTAAAATGTTTCCAAAACGCCTATAAAAGCACCGTGTATATGCTCGGTTTGTGAAATTTCTAGAAAGAATCCCTTCATGAACATGAATGGGAGCCCAATCGAATTCAAATTATTATTATTATAATAATTTATGGTCTAGTAAAACTATTAGACTCAAATCTATTTACCGAAGCATTTTATCTGAGGAGCCAGTTAAAATGTGCCATATCTCCCAATTCACTCATTTTTAATTACTGACTCTTTACACTACAAATTTAATACACTTACTACTAAATGATGAAGAAATTGAGATTGCTTGAAAAATTATAGTCGTATGTATGGTCTGAGCCACATACATAATGTATGGTTACTTTTTAATTTTAACATTACCGAGCTGAGATTTTGTCTGCTAACTACTCTCAAATAAAATCATACTAAATTATGATAAATATACATTTGGATTGTGCCAAGTCTACTACTACTACATCTTACGATTATTTTGCTAATTAGGTCCCTAAGTTCACACGCACATTTCGCTCCTTACCTGCCGAACGGGATGGGGTCTTTGCCTATTTAGTTGAGTGGAGGCAGCGTGAAAGGCTAAGACGTTCAGGGTAAAAATAAACAAAAGAAAATCACGTTTAATTATTTATTTTAATTATTTACAACTTACGTAATAATTTTGTTTAGGAGTAAACTGCAATGTTATCTTAGTCTACACTACAGTGCAGTGCAGTGATTTTCGATTCAAGGCACAAAATCTGAATCTGCAAGGACCGTAACGGTGCCTTGCAGTGTCTTGTGTTTTAACTGCTCCGTAAATGAGTTTAATGTGCCCAAACCATACCTAGGAACTCAAAAACATTTAAATATAAATGAATAGAACACCTTATGTGACTAGATGGTGGAATGTCATCTAATATTCTACGTAAACCCTATGTTTTTTTCTTTCATCGATTTTCTTTATTTGCATATTTGTAACGCTAATGTAGGTGATGTAGTTGTTTTTGCGATAAAGGAATTAGGTGGGAGCCGAGCCGGGCTTTGATGAGTTTGATACGAGAATGAAACATTATTAATTACACCGCTCCTTAGTGCAAAGGTTGAAACTATTGTCTACATCTACCCCCACACGCCACAGTTTCACGCCACCACAACGGACACATCCCACGCTAACCGAACAACATACACTTGTAAACAACGTCTAGCTCGATTTCAAACAAGCTTATACATGGATATTATTTATTATAAGTTTAAAAATTTAACTAGCTGAAAACTTCCCCACTGCTGCCCTGAAAATATATTTTAATTTATTAATATAAATTTTATCTATTAATCATAGAACAAAATAGAGCGAGCGAAGTGCAAAATATGATTTGGTTTAATGTCTAGCTGTGCATCAGCATTCATCATTTTTACAGTTTGAGTGCCTTCGATTGACTGCTCAATTCATTAAAACAGCACAAATTCTTCTATTAAAAACGAAAGAATTTTATATAAATTTGACATATTGTACACAGAAGATGGAAATTACAACAGATGATATTAAAAATAATTTCAATTACATTAGAGTAAAATTACATGCATAATCATATTATATTTTTGTAATTTCTTCTGACGGTTTGAATATAATTTACAACACTTGTATGGAAACAATACATATTCGAATTGTATTTTTAAGAACCGGATTCTATAATATCAACGACAATGTAATAGATTTTACTTCAGAAATCCACTGCCGTCGGTGGTAGTGGCCGGCGGTGGATTTCTACAATGTCGCACATTTAACATTCAAAATAATTTGTTTAGGAGTGCGGTGTAGCTTAGAGCTTGACCTTGCCGGTGCAGATGTCGCTGAAGAGTTGTGGTGTGATGGGGACGAAATCAGCTCCTTGGCGGAAGTAGAGCGGATCCTTGATGACGTCAGGGTCGAAGCCCTCCTTCTGGTATTGGAGTTTCTTTAGTTTAAAGGTTCCTGAAAAAAAAACAAAACGTTTGATAAGCAGGTGGTGTAGGGGAAGAGTCGGCATATTTGATCTCATGGTGCGTTTGAAAATGTCACTAGAGGATTGATTTTAACGTAGATCAGACTGTGGATATCGAGAGTTAAATACTTTCATATTTCTATTTTATTATTCTATACTATTCTATTTATTATTTCAAAAGATAATCGTAGACTCATTATTTAATTATAAAATCATATCTAAAGTAGAATCTATACGATGGTAACCGGCCGATAAACATATAGTCCCCAGTGCGTCACCCAAATTAATAAATGATTCATACATATCTGAATTTTTGTCAGTAGTGTCATTTTGAAGAGTCTACCAAACTTTCTTATTACGACAACTGTCGAAAGTGCTGCTGTTTGGCGGTAGCACGCGTAGTGTGTGTCGAATTCGTGATTACTTTTTTTTTAACTAATACGTATTCCATTTTAACAAATTAAACGCATAATTTACTAACAAGTTTGAAAACGTTGATCCGACAAAAATTTTGCTGCAAATAGCTCGTCTACCCCAACGTAAATATGTCGGATACACGATGTTTTGTTTTGCGACAAATACATAGTTCATTTTTGCGTTACTAATTCCTTATAAAACACAGCGGTGATATTGTCCGACAAATTTTCTGCTGCGTTTTCTATAGCCGACAGCTCGAATATGACGAAGCAATTCATGTTTGTAAAAGTCCCCCGCGACACAGGATGTAGATTAACGTGGAAGTTGTCCGTTTTGGGAAAAAAAATATGTGTAGGTGGGTCAAGTGTGGCGGTTGAGGAGCGCACCGGTGATCTCGATGTCGTCCATGAGGCGCAGGAAGAGCGGGCGCGCGTAGGAGGGCAGCGAGTCGTCCAGCTCCCGCGCCAGCCGCGCCAGGCGCAGGCCGCGCGCCGGGTCCGCCACGGCCGCCATGCCCGCGCGGCCCTCCGTCTGAGGGATCTGAAACCGACGCTATATTATGACATCTATCGAATTAGCGTTTCGTCCGACTGCCTACCTCGATCACGAATAACCGAGCTTTAAGAAACGATTTCAAATTCAAGCTCATTTTAAATTTGGATTGTATATCAGTGATTTGTTTGTTTTTGCGCCATTCAATGTTTCTTCGACATCGTTCTATTTACAAAAGGGAAAACTTAATTATTTACGAATATAAATTCTAGCATTCGACCATGGCATGGCTACTGTAAAAGAAAACACGGCACTTTTCCCACGTTTTCGTTCTGGAAAGTTTGACCTACAGAACGAACCCCGTGAACCAACATTTGATGATCAGCAGTAGACGACGATAGGCTGATGATAATGTAAAGGACCGACCTAATCCTGTCCCAAACGAAAGCAAAAAGTATTGGTCAGTGTTTAGTATTTAACTAGCTGTCGAACGACCAATACTAGTCAATCGCTCTAGCCTAGTGCTACATCAAAGAGACCCCACAGAAAAAACTTTACTACAGACGGTCGCTAAACTAGAGAAGCTGCGATTGAAAAGTCTGCGACATCCACCATGCCAAGAATTTGGGAAATTTCTGAGCCATAATTTGTTTGTAAAGATGTTATTTATTATAGACGTCTGTGTAATATTATATTAGTTGTAATGTACTATTAAATAAATGTTTAGATTAATCATTGTTTACAAGAAAATTGGGTAGGATTACCTACAGACCTTTGAAGAAATAAGACTCGCGCCGTCTGATAATAACTAGCAATGTGTGCCCTGAAATGATTTTAGTGTGTAGGATGTGACAACAATTAGATTTCAGAGTCTGATGGACATAATGGTCCACTTACGGAGACCCCGTAGACGACGCAGGGGCGCTGTTCGAGACAGGGCGACATGGCGTCCTCCACCTCTGCGGTGGCGACGTTCTCGCCCTTCCACTTGTAGGTGTCGCCGGTGCGGTCGCGGAAGAACAGGTAGCCCAGCTCGTCCGACACCAGGATGTCGCCGCTCACGAACGCCGCGTCTCCCTCGCAGAACACGTTGCGAACCAATTTCTTGTTACTGTCGTTCTGAACATTTAAAAACGTATGGTTCAACGTTAATTGATTGTGCAAAATGTTTGATACACCAATCATCGATCGGCTCAGTCTGTAACGCTTACCTTATCGACGTATCCATAGTACTCTCTGGAAGCGTTGCCTTGAGCTATTAAACCGATGAACATGCCTGGCTCATCTGGTATGAAACAAATATCGTTTTTAATGGACAATACTGATCAACGATTAGTAAGTTATATAACTCACAGGGAAAAAAAATGTAGATAAAACTAAGTTCACATACGCTCGCCAACGTCAAAGCTACTTTGGCTCAAGAGATTCGATACATTATTTCATGAATCTATTTAAATAAATTGTCTGCATCTTACCCTCAACGATGAGTCAGACGATCAATAAAAACAATATTTTATCGTTTGTCTGATGGGTCTGATGTCTTCAAATGATGGGATTAACAAATATTTAGAAGTAGATGGGGAGGGGGGGGGTCAAGACGTTAACGCACTTGGCTTGCACCGTATGCAGTAGCCGTCCGGCCCGCGGACGAGCTGCCCCTGCTCGTCGGCTCGCACGAGCGCTATGGGGTGCAGGCACGTCGGCACCAGCTTCGGCAGGAACCCCACCGCACCCACCGTGTTGTCCACGTTTACTAAAAAAATATATAATACTGCATTACGAAGATGGAATATGGTAAGCTGTAGGCATCTATAGGTTATTATTAATCTATGGATTCTTGTAGCTAACACAAATAAACATACCTATGATAAATAAAATACGTACCTACTTATCTTTAGGAGAGACGAAAGTAGTTTTAAAAACAATCTTAAAATTAACGAACTTCCACTATTCAGTTTTGTACTTCTTTAAGTAGTAAAACGTTTCAGATTTAAATGAACAAAGGCACACGATTTTTTGATTTAATTAAACAGTTCCCTACCCTAAAAAATCGTTGACTAATAATTTAACTACATTTATTATATGGTAACATAACATGCACGTTTGCAATTCCCCTTTGAGCAGTATTAAAATGACCTAACAAGCTTATTTACAATTTAAAATGTTATCGACCTATATGACATCTGAGTCAAACCGTGACACGGTTCCAATGTTCTAGTTCACAATACTCATTAAAACTGATTGCAAACAATCAGTATAAAATACAACGTATAAACGATTCAAGAAAAAGAAATAGAAAAATAGTACGTACGTACCTTTTTACAATCATTCGATTAGCAATCGATATTGCTAAACTAATAATACTTTATTAGTAACTAGCTCTTGCCCGCGACTTCGTCGCGTGGTGATCGACATCATCACCATAGATTCATCGAGAATCCTCTACGATGAATCAAGATTATAAGTATATAAATTACCAACTCTATAACAATCGTATCTAATCACTTACAGGGGTAGTTTTGAAAAATTTGTGACAAAACTGACAACGTGGTGTCTTATTACTTTCAATAAAGAGTATTTACTGTTAGTTTGAAAACGCTACTACCAAAACTAACGGAGTTTCAAATAAATTTCCAAATACCATTTTATCTCTTTAGAGGTAGAATTTAAAAACAAAATCCTTTCTTAGTGCATACCAACCAATAGGAACCCAATAGGAACATTTGTACAAAAAAATCATGATTCTAAACCGCTGGGGTTTCAGCTGTGCGTTGATCGATCAGTCAGTGATTCAGTCTGACAGTTTCTTCTTTCATAGATATGAGATATATACCAGTTATAAAGATACGAGATACGAGTCGTAACAATAATTAAAATTTGTTATTTAAAAATTACAACTCTAGGAACTTAAATAAATGTTTGTATTAATTTGCAAGAATAAAAATGTGACCAACTACACGTTAGATAATGACGATTTCGAACAACTTTGAAGTTCGATTTCGCTCAATGCAACATCGGTGTGCATAATAAATCTAATTGCATTGGTGTGTCGTATGTTTATATTTAGAAATGTTTTCAGATATTGATCTGTGAAGAATTAAAATATAAAGATATTAGAATAGAAGCCATTAATTATTTAATTCAATTTACTAAAGTTACATTGTTATACAGAGGCTATAAACACTTTCACTCACTTATATTGGCATTGCCCTCCGTTGCTCCGTAGATCTCATTTATCTGAGGCACTTTGAACCTAAAAATAGATAAAATAATAATTCCACATGTGTCAATAACACTACTATATTGACAACAATTAAGTTAATCACTACCAATAATATAATTAGGTATGTTGTTTTGACCGGGGAGTGATGTTACACTTGTCATGTACACACAGATTACAACTACTTTAAACAAACATTTTTGATGTGAAACATCTGAAGGTCAAACCGGCCACTGGCCATCAGATCTCGCGTCACCATGGCATGCGTCGCCACGATTGACAGGCAGCGAATCCGCTATAGTGTGCATGTAACGATCTGTTGCCAGATAGCCGCTCGCATGTCGTTGCCCACCATGATGCGTGTGTATTGTACTGTTGTGAGTCGGTGCAGTTACCTGTCAACCATCTGTTGCCAGATCGCGGGTCGTATGTTGTTTACCATCGTGATGCGCATGTAATGTTCTGTGTGAGTCGGTGTAGTTACCTGTCGACGATCTGTTGCCAGATTGCGGGTCGCATGCCGTTGCCCACCATAATGCGCACGCGATGTTGTGTGTCGACATCGCGCGGCGGCTGTGCAAGCAGGTAGCGGCACATCTCACCGATGTACTGCGCCACCTGGACCGACACCAAACACGCGATACATTATTTGCGACATTTTGGGATGTTTTTGGTAGTAGCTATACGTAGTACTTTATAAATTACTTGACGATTCATTCGAATGAATAGAAGGTCAGCCAATTCCCTTTAGTTTGTCGGTAAAAAAAAAAAACAGTTGGGCCATAGTTTAAAATATGAGAGAAAATTAAGAATAATCAAACGTAAATTTCTTTCTACGGCATCTTTAAATCTAAAATGAAAGAATAATTTATAAATCTTTTATTTTATTACAGATCAACCAGACAATACGATCGCTTTAATTAAAATGAACCAGGTAAGGAATTAAAACGTACCGTGCAATTATATTTGACGCAATCACTCCAATAGTTGGAGGCGGAGAATTTGGTTCTAAGTACAGAAGGAATGCCATCAATCAGGGCGGCTCCAGTGCCCACAAGGCCTCCCGCCGTGTGGTACAGTGGCAGAGGATTATACATAACGTCAGATGACTTCAGGCCCAGCATATGAACTGTGGCTACCACTACTAGTAAGTATCTGTGAATTTACATTTTAATTTTATTATTATATTGGCAAGATAGTACAGTTGAAAACATGTATTATCCAGTAGGTACCAGTCTGTGTAAAACTGGTAACCCTATTGATACAACGTATTAGGTAAACGGTCAATTTGCAAATCAATAACAAAATTTTGTACACCATAGGGACAGATAGATAAATATTTTACTTGTACACCATGGTCTTACAGACATTATAAAGTAATCAACAACAGATGTAATATACAAAGGGCGGCCTTATCGCTTAGTGCAATTTCTTCCAGGCAACCTTTGGATGGACTGGATTCATTATGAACTGGTGACAGGTATATCAAAATTAGAGAAATAAATAAGGTCTTAACCTATGAAATATTTATTATACATAAATCTTACTAATCTATATTTATACATGAATACTATACATACATACGTTAATATATATGTACACTAATTCCCAACTATGAGAGACAGATAATGCTCATACGGCATAGTCTTGAAGGTGGTTACGGATTGCGCACGTCTGATAGAAACCGGCAAGGCATTCCATAAACGTACAGCTTCTACGGAAAATGATTTGTTTGGAAATTGGTAGAATACCTTGGTATTTCCTATCTCGAGGCTTTCAGAGGACCTCCGGCATTTCATATGTGTGTCATGAAGGAACTTAAGGCGTTCTTTGAGGTAAACAATATTTAATGGATTAAACAGAATATTATACAGAAGCGTAAGGATATGAGTATTCCGGCGAAGGCGGATTGGAAGACACCAGAGTTTTGCGGTAGTGGGAAACATGATCATATTGATTGATCATAGGGAATGTTGACTCTTAATAACTTGCTATAATGTTCTTCCTGAACTACCAACTTTTCACGATCCATCGTAGTCTAGACCCAATATATATGACGATGATGATAATATACATATCACATACTTAGGTCAATTAAGTAATACTGACTATAGTATATAAAATCTCAGTCGAGAATTTATCATTATCCATAAGGAAACATTGTTTTTATTTGGATATGGGTCGTATGCAAAAAATTGACCACTTTTGGGCGATGTTCTCTTGCCTCCAAAGGCAATTTTATCGTAACCCTGTCCACTTACAGGATATTCGATTGAAAGTTAAGAGCCCTGGAATAACTATCAATTCGGTAGCACCAACAATAAAATCTTACTTAGAGTTTGGCAGTACAGCTGCTTTCGGCATGCCAGTTGTACCAGAGGTGTATATGTAGAGTAACGTATCTTTGTAATGGAGTTTCTCGGTAACCACAGGGTAATCTGGCGGATGTCTGTCCATCTCGATACATAGGTCCAGCACTCCAGGAGCACATTTACCGTACAGTTGAAATAGTTTTAGGTCTTCTGAAAGCTGTTGGCGAATCTCTCCAATGGCTGCAAGAAGAAAATTAACAACAATTAAATTGTAACGTTGCACTTAGTTGTAGTTTCATAGTAAGAGTACATTAAAAAAATTATTTCATAATAGATGTTTCACGTTCCACAAGTCGAGAATAGTAAGGAGATAATCCAGTTACAGTAGGCCTGCGAATTCAATGCAGAGCTAGGCGCTGCGTAATTAGTAGTAATTAGTGTAAAACTCCATAAGTTACAATATAAACAAAACAGTGCTAACAGCATTATTTATACAATCTTGGTCTGCTTACAGTAACTCTGTTACTTTAACAAATTCTATCTAGTAGAAATCTAAAATCATTCTAATTACCTGTATTTATATATAAGTTAAATCAAATAATACCTACTAATGGGACATCAGGTGTTTAGGTAGCGATAGTTCTCATATTAATATAAATTAGTTTTTCCAACCATTTCATCGCTAGCTACACCTTTAGTCCAATACTTCGTTGCTACATTACTTAGCTTAACATAATCATATTATAATAAAAAAGCGTAACTCTTACCATCGGCAAGATGTTCCGAAAAAACAACGGCCTTAGCCTTTGCCACTTGTATGCAATGGAGTAGCGGCTTGTGGCGCAGGTTGCTATTAATGAGGGCAGACACGGCGCCAACCTTGGCCATACCGAGCCAGGTATACACGTACTCTCCGCAGTTGGGCATGAACACGCAAACGACGTCGCCACGTTTGAGACCTAGGTGCTCCTGCATCACTCGAGCCACTTGATTTGATTTTGCCGCTATCTGTTTAAGATAGTGAAATATAAGTACTACAGTTCTGAAATAAGTTATTGAAACAAAATATTTTTCTAAAACCACGCTGGTGATTTCGATTTGAATTTGGACACAGCTTTTGCCGACAAACTGGTCATAATTATTCATTAGCAAAAGAGTGTAACGGAGATTGCTGTACTGGGCCATGTATTACCTACTTATTAAAATATTAGCAATGTAAAGGTGTATCACAAAATAGCAGTAATATTACGATTTATTACGATATTTTACGAAGTAATTAATATTTCGACCCAAAGCCATCTAAAAGTGCATTACACTGTAGGAAGTCTCACCTCACCGAATGTCCAGGTTCGGTCATCAACGACAATAAAGCAGGGTGCACTAGGGTTCTTGAGAGCTCGCTGAGTAAACAGCTGGGCAACCGTCGCGTCCTGCCGGCCCCATCGTTTCGATCTGATCATGCCGTTTGCATAACGCCATAGGAATCTGAGGATAATTAAATAAATATTTAGGTACCAAAATTATGATAATACTGTATCAAAATCAATCAACATGAATTTTCTGCCACCGGTAAAAAAAAATATCACTTAAGAACACCGCAAGTTTTCAAAGCACCACAGATATACTGCTTTACAAATTTATTTTTTAGTTACAAATATTTTTTATTGCACAATACTTTAAGACTTTTGTAATTCCAGTTTAAAGACGAAACAAGTACAACAAGTACTTTAAAAGAACACAATATCATCACTACCACAAATTTCGAATTAATTACGACTGTTTTTTTGTCCCGCATATACCTACAACATATCTGCCAAATTGGACATAATAAAACGCTTTAAAAGCTAATTAAGTAGGTAGTAAGTTTCATCATCATCAACAGCCTATACTAGTCCACTGCTGGACATAGGCCTCTCCTTAGAAAGGAGGTTTTGGCCTACTATACCACGCTGGCCAGACGGGTTGGTATAGGGTTTGTTTCAAGTTTTCCTAATACGGTAGTAAGTTTGGCAATTATTAATAATTATCTTATCACTTGGGACTCATCTCTAAATACAGATTAGACTATATTATATTATTTTTATTTATGAGGCGAAGTCAACTTCACCTGTAGTAGTCGCAGATGTTAATTTCTCAGAGTTCATTTAATATGTAACTACATCTATTATTTTAGTATTTCTTTACAGGTGACTATATTCGCACGTTTAACATGTGTTATTTTGTATTTAGGGTTTGTAGAACATTGCAACGATATTCGTCAACAGAAGCCGCTGTTATTAGACTTTCGTGTGGTGGAAAAGTTAAATTAATACTTGAGAAACCCACGCCTTGTTTGTGATAAAATTATGTAAACCACCTGCTTTCTGTATATACAATTGTGTAATTGCAATTGTTTGGGGACAAGCGGGCAGACGGATCGAATGGTAAATGACTACCACCGCCTATGGACACTGCAACTTAAGTCCCCAGTGCATTGCCTTCCTAAATGTCCCTCCTCTCAGAATCAGGGGCAAGGGGAGGGTTTGGGCTCCAGTAACCTCTGTCACTCGGTGAAAAAAAAAACGAAAGAACTGTATTGACGGGCCTGTTGGTCTAGTGGTTGGTGCCCCTGACTGCTAAGCCGGAGGTCGTGGGTTCGATTCCCACCCAGGATAAATATTGTGTGATGAGGATGATTATTTGTTCTGTGTCTGGGTGTAACTTATCTATAATATGTACGTATTTAAAAATATATAAGTATGTTTATCAGCAGTCACCATAGCACAGGCTCTGCCCAGTTTTGGATCAGACGGCCGTGTGTGAGATGTGTGAGGTATATTATTATTATAGTTTGAGTTTCGGTTTCGGCCGGAACTGAGACAAGGGACGAAAGTTCGGTTTCGGCTGTAAAACCTGTTTCGGTCGGACACTAGGTATATTGTATGACAAAGCAGTTTTTCTTTGACACTCTTTTTATATTGTTTTAAAAAAACATACACGAGTAAATCCATTCAATAATCCTGAGATTAACATTCAACACACTATACAATAATTCGTGTTTTGGTATTGATTTGCATTAACATTCATTGATGTAAGACGGAAGGGAGTGTGAGAGTTACGTGTCCTAGACATACAATAACCCAAATACAGGTGATAGCGGTTAATAATATCACAAATATTTTTGTATAATGATTGTATAACCATAAACATTGCGCATCGAGTAGCGTTTAACATATTATGTAAATTTTATATTAGGCTAGGCAGGTAAAAATTGTAAGGAAGCCATAAACAGCACTGCGACGGCGCGGGCTGCGATATGGCAAGTCACGCGACCATTGATGTACTCCTAATCCTATAATTAAATGAATACAAGTTCGACCTTCGTCACAGACAACCTTAGAAATCTATAAAAAAGAAGCAACGTATAGTAAGTTATTTCACAATTACCAGGTAGATCAAATTTTCAGTTTTTCATACGCTGGAAATAAAAATGAGCATACATACAAAGTTTTAAACACATTTGTAAAAAAATATTTATACATGTCTGTTTGCCAAAGTAGTCACCGGTTACTATTCGTTAATAAGGTTAAGTAAATTTTATTTACCGTTACTCCACACTTTTTAGACTTTTGAGATTTAATTCCAGAATGCTTTTTTTACGTGTAGAATCTCACTCGGGTTAATACTTAATCAAGCTCATGGTGTAGTGGTACAAGCATATTACGCACGCCTATAGATACCTATATGTTGCGGTGTTATATTTACTTATTGATTAACACAAATACATTGCATAATGCCGTAGACATTTTCTTTCAGTCGACCTTTACGTGATGCAGAGCTGTGTGGTAGGTGTAGACAATAAATATTTCTGGTTCCGGTAAATTTATAATGTCGAAAATTATTTTTCTTTATTCATAGCAAGAACTGAATTATAGTAAATAATTAGTAAATTGAAGTAAGTATTGTTTACTAGTACAAAGCAATTACCGTAGTTACAATGACATATAAACTGTGACTGAAATAGGTTTTATCTCCAGCCATGAACAACTGGACAAAAAGAGATTAATAAACACAACAACACAAAACAAGTAGGGTAATGATTAAGGTAGTAATGTTAACTAATAACATAATTGTACTTGTATAGTTATAGTTACTAGTCAATCTGATAAAGGACGTTTCTTGTATAAAAACAAGACCTGAGGAATTTCTTTGTCCTCTGAGTAGGTATAAATATATCACTGAGCTCGCTCAGTCTGTGACACTATGTCGTTTACTAACAATAGATGACTGAATGACAACTTTGAAAGTTTACTAAAACAAAAAATAATAATAATGCTGTATTCGCTTTTAGGTAGGTTTTTACATATTTTAGAAGAACTGAAACGTAACGTTTCGCTGTTTGTGCCTCTATACACCGAAACCTTGCATTAAAAACTCATCAATAAAATGTATTACATCTCATGTTCACATGTAATATATATATAAAACCACAAAGGCAAATACAACATGAATATAACATGAATCATGATCGTGTTAACGTAAACAATTATTACGTCTCAACAACTCACAACCAAATTAGACTTTGTTTCCACTGATTATAATGTTAAGCAGTACCTACGTTCTCCGACTTAATTTGATAATAAGAAATAGCGTATTTATGTAAATAAAGACATATTTTCGGTACCTAACACAGATCAAAGTACAAATCAGCCTGACCTGTAGACCTGTTTGTAGGTCTCTAGACTAAAATAAAATTCTCATTATTTTTAAAACAAATTTATAATAAAGATGTTCTATGTTTGGATGTAGGTATGTATATTTTTGTTAAAGGGCAATTTCTGTCATTTATGAATTGATTTCATTTATATACACGTGGTATTAGATTATCTTATATATAAAATTCTCGTGTCACAATGTTCGTTCCCGTACTCCTCCGAAACGGCATGACCGATTCTCATGAAATTTTGTGTGCACATCGGGTAGGTCTGAGAATCGGCCAACATCTATTTTTCATAGCCCTAAATGGTAAGGGTGACCCATCCCTAATTTTTTTTTGTTTTGCAATACAACGTTTGCCGGGTCAGCTAGTTATCTATATTAAGCTGTTAATTTACACAATTTTGCAATATCGCGTCAGGGCAGAAAAATAAACATTTGGTCAAAAAGTTCATGGCGGCTGAACTTTTTTCACTAGTGCGTAATAGCCTCGCAAACAGATGCAGCACGTTTGCACCACGAAACGGTAGTATCGCATTTAGCCTTTGTTCGGATTCCCTATTTAACGAACATTATAAACTACTACATAACACACTTAATACTTCGTATGATATTTATTTAGTATCAAAAGGCAGAGTATAATTATTTACTCTGTTCGGGCTTTATCAACTAACTTTTATCTATTGCGTCGTTAATATAAATGTAGAATATAGAGTACAAATGCTTGAGCGCTAAATTTTTTTTACATACACGTTCTAATTTTTGTATGTTTGGAGTAACGATAATAATCAATATCCCTTAAATATTATGGGGCTGACTCTTACAGATATATATATATATATATATATATATATAAAATAAATATACATGTATACACTCCGAATTAAATATAAAAAGGTTGGACTAATTGAACGTATAACGTATCTTTACATAGTATAAAATGAAGTGGTATTTTTTTTTCTAGTACGCTTAGATTTTTCTAACTACGCAACAGATTTTGATTGAATGATCCAAGAGGCGAATTTATATATATTTGTATGTAATGTATGCGCACAAAAACATGTATTTTATTTATTTATAAACATGTAATATATGTATGTATAATACATAAATGAAGTCGTAAAATACTTGTTTTGTACGTTTCCCCTGCAAATGCTAGCTAAACCTTACTTAATAGATCAAAATAATTTACTATAGAATTGTATATCTTAAAAAGATCTACAAAAAAGTCCGCGTTTGTATATGTCGATTTCCTAAGGATAACCATTTTTATCTTTGACATTTTACAAATAATAAAGGGTAATTTAAGGAAATAATTAAAGAATTAAGTTAAGAAATAATTAAAGAATTAAGTTAACTAATTTTAAAGATGCCCCTATCTTATCAGAATAATAGTATAATTTATTACTCCACACTGACACATTAGTAGTATTAGTACCTATTATCTACTTTGTACCCGTGCGAAGCCGGGGCAGATCGCTAGTGTAGAATAAATAGCATTTCAGAATGAGGCCACTATTCATAGTGGGCTCTTTTTGAAAATGCTACAACAGCATTACTTATTTGGGTCATTGTATTATCCTCTGACTCATTCAGATTACGTAATACGCATCATGAGACTTAATTGCGCTTTCGCTCTACGAACAAAACAATTTTTAAGTATTACAATTAATACGCCACCATACAAAAAGAGAACATCTATCAATCTGTTTACTTTAGAGACGAAAACAACCACCTATATTTTTATTAACTGTTAAGTATAGTAAGTTAGGTACATATATTTATAACTT